TAAGGAACCTGGAGCTTCCCAGGCGCAGATTCAACAATAGCGTGTAAAAGTAGACAAAATAATAGGGGCCGGGATAGGAAGCTGGGCTGCTTCTTTTTTCACAAGGACATCCACAGAGGACATTGGAAAACCTGATGAGAAAATTTGGAATAGCAATCTTGGAATCTCCCGGAACAATGTTTCCTCTTGTCTTATGAATGAATAAGACGACGAGGCAGTGGGTATGAGCGGGATGCGGAGACGATGCTACCCCAGAGCCCAGCCCAGAGAAGACGACCTACGACTTGAGCCTAAAGAGCCCACTCTCCATCTCCGGGAAGAAGAAAAACAACCAAACGTAGCCTCATTCCAGGCGGGATCCTTTAGTGGGCGGGGCTGAAAGGGCGTATTCCGACACTTTCCGTCAATGGACCAATCATCACCTCAAAGGGGCGGGGATGTTAGTAGGTCTCCGCCCCTCTTTTTGGAACGCACATCTGTTTGGGCGCCCTTCAAACGGACCAATGAACGCTCGACATTCCTGGCTTGGGCCCTCACCGATTGGCCGGATATAGTCCTCCCTCCCTCCTTGTCACGCCTCTTGTCCCACTCCTTCGCACACAAGATGGCTGCGCCCAGCGAAGTAGAGGCCGCGCTCGGGGTTTGCTGAGGCCGGCTCCCTCTCCCATTCCCTCTTTGGGCGTCCAGCGCCGGAGGACGGGGGCCGGGCGGGGACAGGGGCACCTGCGTAGCTGGACCGCGAGACGCGCCCAGCTAGCGCCGCCCCCACCCGGCCCCGGCCCGATCCCATCCCATCCCATCCCATCGGTTCCCGGTCTCCTCCCGGTCTGACCCATTGCCTGGCGGTGGTACGGCACACCAGGCCTCCAAAGCCGAGGTCTCTCCTCCAGACTGTGCTCACCTTCACTTCAGAGATGTTTGGCTTCTTCCCTCCCAACCAGCCCGCCTTCAAAACCGGGACTCTTGGAGCGGCATCTGGCCCCCTTTCCCTCTATTAAGACTCCCCTTCTCTCTAACCCACTTTTTCCTTAGCTTTTCGTTCCCCCTGATTTGGAGACTGCTCACTTACCTTCCAAATTAATTCCTGATCACCCAAAATATTGACAACCTTGACAGCGCCCTCAACTGAGGAGCCAGCCTTTCTTTTGGATTGACCTCCATATCCCTATCATGGAGGCTGTGTACCTGGTAGTGAATGGGGTGGGCCTGGTGCTGGACGTGCTGACCTTGGTGTTGGATCTCAACTTCCTGCTCGTGTCCTCCCTCCTGGCTTCCCTGGCCTGGCTCCTGGCCTTCATCTACAACCTGCCACACACGGTACTGACTAGTCTTCTGCACTTGGGCCGAGGTGTCCTGCTTTCACTGCTGGCCTTGATGGAAGCCTTGGTCCGGTTCACCTTTGGGGGCTTGCAGGCCTTGTGTACTCTGCTGTATAGCTGCTGCTCTGGCCTTGAGAGCCTGAAGCTCCTGGGGCACCTGGCATCTCATGGGGCATTACGGAGCCGGGAAATACTGCACAGGGGTATCCTCAATGTGGTCTCCAATGGCCATTCTTTGCTGCGCCAGGCCTGTGACATCTGTACTATTGCTATGAGCCTGGTGGCCTATGTGATCAACAGCCTGGTCAATATCTGCCTCATTGGCACTCAGAACCTCTTCTCCCTGGTGCTGGCCCTCTGGGATACAGTTACCGGCCCTCTGTGGAGGATGACGGATGTGGTGGCTGCCTTCCTGGCCCATATTTCCAGCAGTGCTGTGGCCATGGCCATCCTCCTTTGGACCCCCTGCCAACTAGTATTGGAACTGCTGGCCTCAGCTGCCCGACTCCTGGCCAGCTTTGTACTTGTCAATCTCACTGGCCTGGTGTTACTGGCTTGTGTGCTTGCAGTGACAGTGACTGTGTTGCACCCAGACTTCACCCTGAGACTGGTCACCCGAGCACTCAGTCAGCTTCATACCTGGCCATCATACCATCGACTGCGAGAGGACGTTGTCAGGCTGTCTCGCCTAGCCCTGGGCTTGGAGGCCTGGCGCCAAGTATGGAGCCGCAGCCTACAGCTGGCGAGCTGGCCATACCGGGGAGGGGCACCAGGGGCCCCTCAGGGTGGCCCTAGGAGGGTATTTTCAACCAGGACCCAGGGACAGGACACTCTTCCTGAAGCAGGGCCCAGATCAGAGGCAGAAGAGGAGGAGGTCAGTACCATAAGAGTGACACCTGCCCGGGGCCGGGAGAGGCTCAATGAGGAAGAGTCTACAGCTGGGCAAGACCCGTGGAAGTTGCTAAAGGAGCAAGAGGAGCGGAAGAAGTGCGTCATCTGCCAGGACCAGAGCAAGACTGTGCTGCTTCTGCCCTGCAGGCACCTGTGCTTGTGCCAGGCCTGCACTGAAATCCTGATGCGCCACCCCGTCTACCACCGCAACTGCCCGCTTTGCCGCCGGGGTATTCTGCAGACCCTCAATGTCTACCTCTGAAGACTCCCTCCCTGCCTGTCTACTCTCCACGCTCCACACAGGCACCTGCTCTGGGACAGAATTAACACCTCACTGCTGGGTCCTGGCCTGAAATCCTCTGCCCTTTGGTTGTCCTGCTAAGCCTCAAGCCATACATCCAGAACATAGAGATGGGACACTATGGAAGCCTTTGATCTGGGGGGGGGGCAGGGCAACATAGCTTCTCTGTACCCAGTTGGGTCCCTTTGATGCTGAGGGTGGTGAGTATGTCACTATGCAAAGGTCCTGAGACTGTGTGCTGTGGGTTCTCCTCCAACTTGCCCAGGCGCACCCACATACCAGCCTCTGGGGCTACCTGTCTCTGCTTCTGGTTTTCCTGTTGGAGATTTGTAGGTACTCCCCCTGCCTCTTTCCCACTTTCCCCCCAGCTTCTGCAACACAACACATCAGTGTCACTTGGATATTTTGGCAACTCAGGGGCCTTGGAATGATCTTGAACCTTTGTGTTCAGCCAGAGCCCCTGTGCCCTGGTAGGTTTGGGGGTGGAATCTCTCAGGTGCCCTTAGAGCCACTTCTGCCTGTCATGATCTTAAGAGGCTCTCTCCCAACCTGATCCAAAAGCTGGGATCAGTTTACCTCTGGGAGGGGTGTGCATCTGCACCTGATCTAGGGACCATGTAACCTCAGGCACCCCAGCTCCACAGGGAGCCTCAGGAGGGATAACCAGATTTCTACTCATTCCCCTTTTATTCCTCACTTTACATAGAAAAAATGGCATTCCTCTTTGTCTCTCCCTGACATTAGGGAGGGCAGCTGTGCACATTTCACTAGGGTCCAAACAGAAGGGGCCAGGGCTTAGGGGCATGCAGCTCCCTGAGGGGTCTGTTTGCCCAGTTTCCAATGAATAAAGTTCTCTTGACAGCTCTGACCGCGTCTGTGTGCATCTCTGCAAAAGTTAATAGTTGATCAAGGTGACAGATGCTACAGAAGGATCTTTCAGTCCTGCTAGAGTCAGGAAGGTGTGTTCTCTGGTAGGGACCAGGCCTTGAACTGGCGCCTGGAGAAGAGGGGAAATAGGGCAGGAGGGCCATGCCAAAGGGAGGGTCTGTGCCAGGTGTGGCTGGGTTAGCTCTCACCCCTTCCAGTTAGTCCTTTCACACACAAGTTTCTGGAAAAGCCTTCCCTGTCTTCCATTTCTGCCAGAATTAAGTCTTGGTAGAGCTGAATGTAAACTTCTTACTCTTTAAGTCTACCTTCTCAGCTTTCCCTTTGGTGCCATTCTTCCCAGGAGGGGCCTTGGGGTCCTGATGTCTGGAGGAGCTGGGGGTTGTCTCTTGTTTCTTGGCACAGAGACTAGTGCTATGATGGGCTGGAGGAGGGCTGTGGGGCCTCCTGGTGGAGAGCAGGGAACTGAAGCTCAGGAGGCCTGAGGCCTATCTTTGGCTCCAGTGTGGCCCAATGCCCATGATCATAGCTGCCCTCACATGACCAGAGAGAAGGGGCACTCCCCCATAATTGTATGTTCCCTCTAAGAGTATAATGCCTGGGACTGTCTTCTGGAAGGGGAGGAGGTAGGTGGGTCCTGAAGAAACTGGTTTGAGGCCCCTCCAGTCTAGGTTGATAGGCTGAGCAGACTGGGACTGGCAAGCTCTGATTTGTTAGTCATTAGATTGAGGCTGGGCTCTCAAGTTCAGAGGAGGGGAGCTTCCAAGGGGCTTTGTGTTCAGCCTCAGACTTAGTGGCTTGGCCCACCCAGGTTGTGCCCAGCACAGTGGGGGAGAGTTACCCACCTACATCAGAGGTGGGAGGCTTGTGGCTGGGTATGGCTCTTTCTCTTCCCTTCCCCAAACTCTAGAGAGGGAGCTAAGCAAGGGGAGGCTTGGCTCCTTCCAGTCTCTGTTTAATGTGGGGATAAACATTTTATGAGGGAAGATAAACTTCCTGAGATGGAAGTAAAGCACCCCATTTCCTCCACCCTCATCTGGAACTCCTTTGGCAGACCTTAATACCCTTCCTCTCCTTAATCACCCCAGAAGTGCTGACTGAGCTCAAGCTACCAATGCTTGTTGCATTCTGAAACTGGGGCGCCCCCTTGTGGTTTCCAAAGAAATAACTTATCTTGACATCCAAGAACATCATTCACCTAGCATGGGGATAGAGCAATAACTTTCCAGTAATCCAGGGACCAGACAAACAGCCAGAGTAGCCATAAATAAAAACCTTAGCCTTTTGTTGTTGGATCAGGGCAGGGTATATGTGGTGAAGGCAGTGCCCATCTGATTTGGCATCTTTGAGTCAGAAAAGACACCCCTTTCTCTGGGTGGCCCCACAGCAGGAGGGTACCCCCTCCCCCAAACACCCCTTATACTCCTTTTCACAATGTCTGAAACCCATGTGACAGCTCTGTGAAGCAGGCTGTCATTCCTCTGGGCCTGCTTCCTGCATTTCCTACCCCATCCCATCCAAGAACGCCCAGTTTGCTTGCATAGCCCACCAGGATACTCAGAAACAGAGTATCCCCACCACTAAAGAAAGGCTGAAGCCAGTAAGAGGGTTTGTTAAATTTATTAAATGATCTCTGAGAAAAGGGTTGGTCCCTGAAGCAGGAGAGATGGAGGAGGATCCAGAGTAGCAGAGGACCAGGAAAAGAACACCCCACCTTGGGCCAGAGCAACCAGGGGGACCCACATTTGCTAGTGCAGTACATTCCTTTAGTGTTGGGCAGAAATCCAGCCACTGCCCCATGCTGCCAGCACCAGACCTCAGACAGCCTGGGTCTCCATTTCTTGCTTGCCACAGGACGGAGAGGCCTCTATTCCACTTCCCTAGTCATTCACAATATTCCGGGGGGGCCAGCCCTCCCGAATGTGCCGCTGTCAGTGTTACACCCTTCTCTTGTAGAAGCAAGAGAGCGGGAGCTCACTTTCCAGTAGGCACTAAGCAAAGACTGGAGAGCTGTGCCAGTCGGAGTAGACAAGAAATCCAGAGAAGGTGCTGTCTGTCTTGATGCTGGCATAGATGCCAATGTAATCACCCACGCCCACCTGCACCCACACCTGGTCCTCTGGCTCCAGTCTCACCATGGCACCCCCGGAGAGCGAGGCTGGCTTGGGCCACCCTCCGAAAAACTGGAAGAAAGAAGCGATGGACTCGCCGTTCTTGACCAGATCGAACTGCAGACTGGCCCTGTAGACGGTGGCATGGACTGCGAAGTAGTAGACCCCCGGCACTTGGCAGGTGAATTTGCCGGTGGTGGCGTCGTAATGTCCCTGCTCGTTCACCAGCACGCGGTCAAAGGGTAGGGGCGCATCGGCAGGCGGAGGCACCCGGCTCTCAGAGCGCTTAGCGCTAAAGGCGGAGCGCGGAGGCACAGAGCACTCGCCTGCAGGCCCGGTTGCCCCCATGGGTCCCGCCTCTCCTCGCGGCCCGGGTTCCCCACGCGGCCCCGGCAGTCCTGCGGGAGAGGGGGAGGGTTAAGAATGGTGCCTGTTGCGGTGGGATCAGCCCGCAGCGGGGTGCAGGAGGGCGACTTCAAGAACTCCCACTCTCGCTCAGCCTCACTGAGCCTCCGAAAAGCCGCTTCCTCTCTCCGCCCCAGTCTCTGCCCCGGTTTTCTGCAGGGGTTGGGGTAGATCTGAGCGGCTGAGCAAAGAGGGTCTCAAGAGTGCCCCGCCCCGCCCCGCCCCGCCGACCTGAGTGGTGGGGCATTAGCGCCCCCTAGAGGGAGCCCCGAATCCTGCGGAACCCGAGGGCACAGGAGAACCACAGTGGCTCCCACATCCCATTTGAACCTCAACAAAGGTGCTTCCTTACCCGGCCTCCCGCCCTCGCCTTTCTCGCCGGGAGTCCCGGGCAAGCCGTCGCGGCCATCGCGGCCGTCGCGGCCAGGCAGGCCCTGGCTGCCATGGTGACCCGGTGTGCCTGGAAGGCCCGGGTGGCCCGGGCACAAGCTGGGGATCTTGTTATCTTCCAGTGGGGGCGAGCCGGACGCCAGGCTCAGGAGCAACAGGGCGAGGAGAGGCCTCATGATGCCGGCACCGGGAGCCCGAGCGCCGGTGTCCTCTCGTCGTCTGTGGGTCGGGCAGGGCTGGAGTCGGAACCCAGAATTCTGGCACCCGCCTCGCTCTCCACCCTTGCTCAGCCCAACCGGTCCCCACCCCACTGCCATGCCCCAGAGGCTGAGCGGGCGCGCTGGAGGATGGAAAAAGGGGCGCCCCAGAACTCAGAAGCTGGAGAACTCAGGCGAGAGGGAAAGGAGAGGCCGGCCCTCCCTCCTTCCCTCCCTCCCACCTCAGCCGGCGCCCAGACTTTCCCACAGTCTCCTCCCTCACCCCATTCCCCCTCCTCTGCCGGACTCACCCACTCCCAGCTCCTCGGCGCTGCTGGCTCTCTCAATGGCCTCCTTTGAGACGCTCGCCACTTCGGACCCTCCTTTTGGCTTTGCTCCCGCCCTGCACTTCACCCCACCCAGGTACCCCCTTGTCCTCGTCGTTTCCCTGGTCCTGGTTCACTCCTGGTCGGTTCTGCTCTGCTCCTCCCAGACTCCAGGGGGAAACCAGTTGTTCAAGGGCCAAGAGCTCCAGGCCGGGAAATAGCAGGGAAATAACTCGTGGTGTCGCCCGGCCGTCGGCCAAAGTTTGGGAGGAGAAGGGAGGGGGAGGGAGAATTTGAGCAGGGCACTGAGAGGCAATTGGTGAGAGCCAGACGCTAAGGGCTCTGGTTCCCAGGAGCAGGGGGGAGAGATGGTGCAATGACAGAGACCAAGGACAAGACTCTAGACCATGGAGAAGTGGACCAGCCAAGAGCAGAGGGTGAGAGTTCCAGAGACTGAGAGCCAGCAGGAACAGGGCCTTTGAATCTATAGGCACTCAATACAGTTTTGTTGACTAAATGAAAAAAACAAAGGGCAGGTGACAGAGAACCTGAAAAAGCAGATGGAAAAGAGAAAGCAAAAGATAGGAAACCCTGCATGGAAAGCCTCTACATTGTCCAGTGGCACAGTGTGAAGCCAGGTCAGCAGCCTTTGGCAAGTAAAGGAACAGGGAAGGAGAGTGAAGGTGGGAGGGCTCCATTAGCCAGGGACTGAGGACTCAGTCTCTCTTCCTACGTAGGAGGACCCAGAGAGGATGGACAGAGTTCTATGCAAAAGTCCCCACTTCCCTTGTCCCCTGCCTGCTTGCCCATAAAGGCAAAAGCCTGTGGGCAGGCAGAGGCAGGGCCAGCATGAGGGTCAGGGCTGTGCACAGGCTTCCAAACCAGCTGCCTCAGGCAGCCTGTTGCAGTTGAAGGGCCAGGGGGTGCCCAGTAGTGCCAGGCCAGATTGGCACTGTCTCTCTGCCTCCTGGCAGACAGAGCGGCAAGGGGGAAGGACACTGCCCAGCAGGGTGCAGCGGGGCACAAGCAGCCCACAAAGGAGCCTCCGAAAATTCTGGTAGCAGGGAAGGCTTGTTAGGCTCTGTGGGAAGAAGAGATCAGCCCTCAGGTGCTCAGCTCCCCAGGTTCCCTCCCCTTCCTGTGGCCTCCCTCCTTGTCTCTGTCCAGAGCACCTTGTAGCCTCTGAGGACATCTACCACCTCCTCCTGGGTGGCCATGCCCACCCAGATGTTAGGGAAGGCCGTGGTGTTGTAACTCAGACCGATGCACATCTCCACCTGGATAGGCTCACAGGCCAGCTCTGCAGGGATGGGAGAAGGGGTCACTGTGGGGACAAGTCACTTCATTACTCTGGGTCCTTACATGGGTCCGATGGAGATTGTTGTGAAAATCCAAAGAGTTAACAAGGAGAGAGGCTTTATACACATCAGGGATCCCTGTTCTTCTCAAGAGCCATCTCCAAGCAGCAGTTGCCAATCCTGGGCATCATGCAGCCACCTCTTTGATCTCAGGGAATGTGGGGTGCCCATATTTGCAGGAACTACTTGGGCATCTGTAATAAACTCATCCACTCTGTGTAAAATCTCATCTTCATCTTTGAAGTGGGTTGTGGAGAGGACTCTGTGTGACAAGGTGGCTGATTCTTGAAGCCCCAAACATTGATTCCCAGATTCCTGGGTCCTTTTGGCGTGACACTAAGTACCACTGCCCCCACCAGTTGAGAGTCTCTCCAGGACTCTGTGAAGTAGCCCCACAGTCAGGAGAGTAAGACGCAACTGGTCCCCCAACTCCAATCAGGGAGGAGGGAAAGGAATGTTGGGGAAGGTGCTGGACACCCAGCCTGCTCAGGATTGGGGCCCATTCAGGGTGTCAGTGCAGGCTTCTCACCTGGGGGTGGGAGCAAGGGACTGCTGCAGTTCTTGTCATTGTTGCCATCTATACAGTCTCTCCACAAGTCACACATCCACTGCAGATCCCTACACCCTCCATTCTGGCACAAGAACTTTCTGGGTCCACAGGGGTCTGTAGGCACAGGGGGTATGGCAGTACCCTGGAACTGCCCCAGCTCCGGGGTGCCCTGACCAGGTCCAGAGCCCTCTTCTGTTCTGTGGAGGTGTCTCTACTGCCTACACCCACTCGCCCAGGGGTACTTACTCTCTGTGGCATTGAAGGCCTTGAAGGTGGCGGAGAAGCCCCCGCTGCTGATGCTATGGTCTGTCCGGAAGAGCACAGCCAGTTCATGATGCGAGGAGACGAGATGTGGAGGTGTCTCTGCTCCACAGAACCTGCCCACAACAGAGTGTTGTTCTGGGCATGTGACCCCAGGCCATCTGCTACATCTCTGAGCTGGGGCTCTGGGACTTGCCAGGGATAATTGGAAACAGTTGCTGCTCTCAGAACTTAGGATATGGTGAGGAGGACAGAGTCAGTAGACAAAGTTTTAAACTACTTGGGCTTGAGTCCCTTCAGGAGGGCTTGTGGGGGAATGGAAATGGCCCCCCAGGGTGGTCAAAATGGGGGTGGAGAGGGGTTTGCCAAAGGACTTCCTGGGGTGGGGCAGTTGCAGGCATGAGGGCTTTGAGATAAGCATGCACAAGCCTTTTAGGGTGAAGGTGGAGACCCGTGGCCTGGAGTGGCAGAAGAAAACAAGGTTGGGGAGTAAGTTGGGCCCATGTGTAGGAAGCCTGGTGTGTCAGCAGTGGAGGATGGGTTAGCCGCTCAGCTACCCTGGCTCCTGTACCTGCCCAGGAGGCTGAGGGCTCCTGAGCTGCTGGTCTCATACACCTCCACGTAGTCAAACTTGCACTCGTCCTGTGCTTCCAGGCTGAAGTTCCAGAATTGGAGTTCTATGCCATGTCCAACAGGCACGGAGATATGCCAGGTGCAAAGCTGGGGGAGGGTGCAGATGGAGAAACCCATGGGCCCTTCTCCTGTCCCACTCCGGGCATCCAGGATGAGCTTCAGAAGGGACTTCTTAGCCCAGCGCAAGCTTGTGCCCACCCAGCTTCCCAGTGGAACGCAAGAAGCCAGGTCCGCGTGATGGAGGCCTCCTGGGTCAGGGTGAGCCAGACTGGAGCTTGCCTGAGGGTGTGGTCCTGTTTCCTCAACCCCAGGGCTTGTCTTGATAAGATGAAAAGTCTCCTTTAATTTTCCAGGAAACTCTTGACTTTCCTGCACATGTGTCCTTACAGGGAAATACGTGGGAAAGACAGGAGCCCCATTTATAGATGAGGAAACTGAGGCTCTTAAAAGGGGAAGGAGCTTTAATGTGGCTAGTCTCAGCAATAGATGGGTTTGCCCAACATAGGAATATCTGGGTACACAGTAGGTACTTAATAATGTTCCCTTCCGGTCTGCTTGAGTTCTGACTTTCCCAAGTCCAAGGCAGTGTCTACCATGCTGTTCCCAGTCACACTAACCTGGGTGCTCTACCAGCTCCCCTGGGCACCACACTTACCTGTTGGTGAGGGTGCTGCTGTAGGTCACTGGGCGTGGAGAAGGTGCCCTGCAGCCCGGTCAGATTCCCCCCACACCCTGTAGGGAGGCGGAAGGGCTCATGAGTTGCCAGGGCCTGTGTCTCCATCGTCTAATAGGGTCTGCAGCGGCCGCAAAGCAAGAGTTTGGGCCCAGCCTGCAGGCAAGCAAGTTCGGCCAACCAGGCAGGGAATGTTGGCAGGTAGGAATACAGATTTGGGGCTGGGCCAAGGTTGGGGAGCCCAGCTTGAACCTGGGGCAGTTGCCTGAAGACAGTACCTCCCTACACCTGGTGGATCCATACCCAAGAGCTTGGCACTACAGTTAGTCTCGTCACTGCCATCGGCACAGTTGGCAAAACCGTCACATACTGAGTCAGGCAGCAGGCAGACGAGCTGGTCACAGTGGAACTCTTCGTGGGCACAGCTCCCTGGCGGAGGGCATCTGGGGTCAGAAATTTCCAGAGTCTCCAGATCTTTTGCCAGTGCCGAGAGTGACTGGAGGCAAGGAATGGGCGATAGGCAGCTGGCCACATGGTGGGGATGTCGCTCACCGTGCCCAGGGGCCACAGCTTGGTACCAGGCCTGGAAACCAGATCCTTCCACACTGCTGTCAGAAACGAAGGCCACCTGGAGGCGGCTGGCGTTGGTGTTCAGTGTCGGGGGAGGCACCTTCCCACACACCCTGCAAGAAGCCAGGTCCAGTGATGGAGGCCTCCTGGGTCAGGGTGAGCCAGACTGGGGCTTGCCTGAGTGTGTGGCCTGTTTCCTCAATCCCAGGTCTTGATAAGATGAAATTCTCCTTTAATTTTCCAGGAAACTCTTGACTTTCCTGCACATGTGTCCTTACAGGGACTTACGTGGGAAAGATAGGAACTCCGTTTATAGATGAGGAAACTGAGGTCAAAGAGGGGAAGCAAGGTCACACAGCAAGGTGGTGGCCTAGTGGGGCACAGTGGTCCAGTCTCTCCCAGCCCTCCCCTGCAGCTTCCTGGTTCTGCTCCAGGGAGGGCTCTCCTGGGGGAAGAGGGACCCACCTGAGGAGGGGCCCTTCAGGCTCAGGAGAGATTTCCAAGCGATCGAAAAGACAGGCGGCCACGCCCTCCACGCTGAGGGTTTCAATCTTGAGCTGTATCGTATGGTCAGTGGCCACCTGGATGTGCCACACGCAGTGGGCATTGGGTGGGTAAGGATCTGGGTAGTTGGGGCTGCTGAAGAAGCCCCTTGGACCAGGAAGGAGGCCCCCACAGGCTGCAGGAATGGAGGGCAGAGTTCAGAGTTCATAAGGAGAGATCCTTTTTTCCCAAGGCAATACTTTCTGGCTTCCCCTCCAAGCTGCCATCTTGGGCCTTCCTAGAGGACTGCGCTTAGTACTCACTGGCCTGGTGTGTGGGGCTCGTGTCTGCCCCCTGCTGCCCTGTGGTAGCTGGGGAGGTGGTGCTGGTGGTTGGGGTAGTAGTAGTGGTGAGGCCTTGGGCAGGCAGTGGGCTCTTGGTGGCCCCAGGTGGGGGTGCAACCGTCAACTCTAGAGGAGGAAGATGAAGAGGCGGCATTCAGAGGTGCTGGATCCATAGGAGGTGGGTAGAGACCCACAGAGTCAGTCCAGGTACTCACGGGACAGGATGATGGCCACGAGCAGCCCAAGTAGCAGGAGCAGCAGACTGGCGAGCAGGAGGACGCAGAGCCAGGAGAAGTGGCAGTCTGGCTGCAGCCCTCTGGGACGCCGGCCTATAGGCAGGAGGTGGGGTTTAGAGCCCCCTGCCCTTCGGCCTCCTTCACACGGTGCTCAGCTTCTGGGCCCCTGTCTTACCCCGAGGTCACCCCTGAGAGGGTTACCGTGCCAGGGAGCTTGGATGTTGGGGCTGGCGTCCTGCCGGAGGGCTGGTGAAGGGCCGGGTAGCCCAGCTTCGGGCTCGAAGGCAGGATTGCAGAACTCGGTCTGGAAGGCAGAGGCTCGAGGCTGAGGGCAGGCAGTGGGCTTTTGGTGGCCCCAGGAGGGGGTGCAGCCTGAGGATGCTGGGTCTCGGGGGGGGGGTGGTTCCTCGTGGCCCTTACCTTGCTCAGTTCTGTCGCCTCCATGCAGAGGATGACATCCGAGTATTCCTTCATGACCCAAAGCTCTGCATGGCTCTCTGGAGTCCCTGTGAAAGCCCTAGACCCCCAAGGGCCCCCTCTCTGGGCACAGCTCCCTCCCAAATGGGGCAACCTTTACTCCCTGAGAGCAAAGGCTGTCTGGCTAGACCAGCTCTTGGGCTGCACTTGGCTGACTGATTGGAGCTATGGCTACTCTGTCTCCATGTGGGGGAAGGGATGGCAGCCAGAAGGAATTCACAGAGGCACGAAATGGTCCCTTAATCCAACTCAGCTGAGGAGCTGAGGGCAAGACCCTGGCACAGGGTGGCAGTTCTTAAAGGCACAGGCAGTGGCTGAGGAAGCTTCCAGTGGAGGAAGCAGGTACCCAGTGGGCACGTGTGAGCAAGCCCGCCACCCCTTCCCTGCCTCACCCGGGGCTGAGGAAGCTCCTGGGGTGCTGGCAAGAAAACATGGGGCTGCTTTGCAGATATTAGGGAGACTCAAGGGGTCTGAGAGAGAGAGAAGCTGGGTGTAGGTTGGCAGCTTTAAGACCTCTGTGTCTCAAGGCCCTGGGCAAAGCCAACTGCCCATCAGTCTTCCCGGTCTGGGTGATGGGCATTAGCCAAGCCTGGGTCTTTGAAATGTCCCTATTAGGTTACATGTGGGGGGATGGGGATGTGGCTTAAGCGGTAGCGCGCTCGCCTGGCATGTGTGCGGCCTGGGTTCGATCCTCAACACCACATACAAACAAAGATGTTGTGTCCACTGAAAACTAAAAAAATAAATAAATAAATTCTCTCTCTCTCTTTAAAAAAAAAATATTAAAAAAAAAAAGATTACCTGTGTGACCAGGACAAGGAAGGGAACCATTATAGAAAGAGCATGGCTTGAACTGGAGGGGGCCCCTCAGCCGATAGGAGACAGCATAGAGAATGGGGAGGTAGGTGCCCAAGGCCTTGCACAGGCTGGGGTGGGTCGTAGGGCTGTTGCAGGGTGGGAAGCCCACACTGAAAATGAGATCACTTGATGTCTCTTCTCCATGAGTGAAGTTCTTTTGGAAAATCCAGTCTGGCCCAGCTGTCCTCAAGGGAGGAAAATAAGGGATTGCTAATCTGTTTTGTGTTAGCCATGCTCAGGCTGAGTTGGGCAGGGCAGAGGGGCGTGGAGTCAGACTAATTCTTATGGCTACTATTTGTAGAATGTCTTCTATGTTTTAGGGCAAGAGGTCTTATGTGCAATTTCTTTCCTTTCAAACTCTATGAGGTAACATAACTATTTTACAAATGATGGTGCTAGGGCTCTGAGAGGTTAAGTACCTTCCCCAGGGTCACACAGCTAATGAGATACAGAGAACAAAGTTGCACCTACTAGGACTGGGTAAATACCAAATGCATGTTTTTTGTGACATATTGCTTTTGTCCTGTGGTGAGAATGAGGCATGTTTGGAAAGAATAGGGGACAGAGTATACCAGAAGGGAGCAAAGTGAGGAAACTAGCAGGGGCAGAAGAACCAACACAGATTCTGTGTTCCTCAGGCAGCTCTCCTTGTACTCAGGAGAGGGGATCCCCCATCCCTACATTCTTCTTCATCTACCCTCTTGAGGACCTGAGGTGCTTCTGTCTGGGAGGTCAGACCTTTTCCAGGACCCTTGAGTCCAGCAGCACTTGGTCTTTAAGAAAAAAATTTTCCACCAATGGGGACTGAAGCAGGTGTTCTACCACTGAGTGACACTCCTGGCCTCCCCCTCTTTTTTTGAGGAGGGCACTGGGGTTTGAACTCAGGGTCACTCGACAACTGAGCCACATCTCCAGCCCTATTTCGTGTTTTATTTAGAGACAGGGTCTCACTGAGTTGCTTGGTGCCTCATCATTGCTGAGGCTGGCTTTGAACTTGTGATTCTCCTGTTTCAGCCTCCTGAGCTGCTGGGATTACAGCCACCACACCTGGCTCTCCCCAGTTAAAAAAAAAAAAATTATTTTGAGACAGAGCCTTGCTAAGTTGCCCAAGCTGGCCTTGAATTTGTGATCCTCCTGCCTCAGCCTCCTGAGTTGTTGGGATTGCAAGCGTGTGTGCCCAGCTTTAGGGAAGGTCACTGTACGGGCAAGTTTTCTTCTTATCATACTGGTTGGATCAGACCAAGTAGGGTTCCTTACCACACAAAGAGCCTGGGCCAGAGCCTGGCAGAGTGGCCTTGTGCTGAGCTTCGAGGAGAAGATGTGGAGTTGGAGGGCCACGCCCCTTGGGTCTGCTCCCCGAGACTGTTCATTGAGAGGTTGCAGAGCCAGGCCTGGCTGGGAGCAGCGCTGACAGGATGACAGTTGTCCTTGTCTCAAGCAGCTCCTGGTTTAGTGTGGTGGTCCTCAAAGTGGAGCCCAGGGAATTATTTAGAGGGTTTGAGAGGTCAGAAGTGTTTTCCTGATGACACTAAGATGTTATTTGCCTTTCTTGGTTTCTGCACTCAATGCAGTTTTCCAGATGTTCTGTGATGTGTGATTTGGTGATGGGTGGAATGCAAAAGGGATGAGAGTCCAGCTGTTTCTGTTAGACCAGATGTTAAGGAGATTTGCAAATGTGTAAAACAATGCTACCCTTTTTGGTATGTTTTTTGTTTTGTAAAAAATATTTTAAAAATGCATGGTGGGGCATTCCTGTAATCCTAGGAGGCTGAGGCAGGAGGATCACAAGTTTGAGGACAGACTTAGTAACTTAGTGAGACTCTGTCTTGAAACAAAAAATAAAAAGGGTTGGGGATGTGACTCAGTGGTAGAGAAGCCCTGGGCTCCATCCCCAACACCACAAATGAAAGAAAATGAAAACACAAAAGCCCCATATGAGTGAAATTGAAGGCAGACCCCTCAACTCATCATCGTATTTGACCCTCACACCCGTCCTGGGATATAAGGCCTCAAAGTGGAGCCCAGGGAAGTATTTAGAAGGATCCCATTTTCCACAGTTGCTGAGGCCCTGGAAGTTAAGTGCTTTTGCCCAAAGTTGTACAGCTGTACAAAGAGCCGGGCTGAACATCAGAGCTGGCTCTATTGGACTCCTGGTTTTCAATTTTACATTCTTTTGCCCATATTTTTTTTTCTCATTTTCTTTGCTATTTTCCATGTCCTTCCTATAGACTTGTACAATGGGCCGAGGGCAAGAGGACCTGTGAGCAAGGACACTTGACTGGGACCTGTGTGAAGAGGTTGGCCTGGGGCCTGGGGTGGGAGGTTTCTTGCTTCTGTCTGGCCGAGTCCCTTTCCTCTTTCCCACAGGTCCCAGGGCCTGACCTTCTTGCCTTTTCCTTCCTCCTGGCGTCTCCCGAGTCCCAACCTGTCTCAGCAGGGACACCATCCCTCCTGCTCTCTGTCCCTTACTGCTGTAGCGCTGTCCTCATGGGTTGTCCTGCCTATCACTGTGCCCTCGGCCCATTGTACAAGTTAACAAGACAGGGGACATGGCATGCTAATGTGGCTCCTGCATGAGACCCCACCTCCAGAGGCTCCCCTGGTTTGTGTCTTCATTCCTGAGACCATGGATCCCTATGGCTCCCTATGGCTCCCTCATGCTCATCCCTCCGCGGTTCACTCTCCTCCCCTCTGGAGGTCGGTGAACGAGCAGCAGGTAGAGCGAGCCACTTGTGGTCCTGTTCTATTGCAGGACTCCAGCTCTCCAGTTTTCTCTGGGCCTAGTTCTCCAGCTCAAACCTTCCACTCCAACCAGGCTGGCCTCCGCTCTGTCCCTGGAACAGGCTGTGTTCACCCTGCCTGTCCATCTTCCTCCAATCGGAAATGCCCTCCCTTCTCCTTGCTACAGGACCACCATTATAGGAATGTGCTCAGTGCCCCCCTCCTTTTCTGCCAAACCTTCCAAATGGACTCCTCCTCCTTGCTCACTGCCACCCTGGGTCTTGACCTTCATCCCCTGGTTCTTGACTCTTCCCTAGTCTTCAGGGGCCTAGAAGACAGTAGCTTAGTAGCCCTGGCTCACCAACAACTCCAAAAGGCAGATCACCCCAAAGATCAGGAGATCAAGGAAGCTCATGCCCTGGTTTTGGAATGCCCATCCAGTGACCCTAGCACACAGTTTCTGTCCGGTTTGGGCAGTGCTATGTCTACTATGCATCCCTAGGATTATCCCTGAGCTGGGAAGAGGCTCTAAATGTAAACCTCTGTCAATGTGCGGTTCGAAGAAAGGTGGTACTTAGTATTCTCAAGGGAATTAAACATTTGCTGATGATTACCTGCTAGGAAAATCTCAGTGGAGCTCTGATGGTTTAGTTTTGGAAATGGGGCTCAGATGGGAAATGGACATTTGTTGAGTACCTGCTATATACCATACTGTTTTTGTTTGGTAGTGGGGATTGAACCCAGGGGCACTTGACCACTGAGCCACATCCCCAGCCCTATTTTGTATTTTATTTAGAGACTGAGTTGCTTAGCCTCTCATCATTGCTGAGGCTGGCTTTGAACTCATGATCATGATTTGTCTCATCTTCCTGAACTGCTGGGATTACAGGTATGTGCCACCACGCCTGGCGCCCTTTCTATATTTTATTTTGGGACAGGGTCTCATGAATTTGCTTAGGGCCTTGCTAAATTGCTGAGGCTCTCCTTAAATTTGTGATCCTCCTGCCTCAGCCTCCCAAGTTGCTAGGATTATAGGCATGCGACACCAAGCCCGGCCCAGTGAGATTAAATATTTTTCTTGGACGATACTCACTAGTCCTTTTCTGTTGCCTTCCGGTATCCCACACAGATACTTGTTTGTGCTTCAAGAGTGATGAAGGATGGGGACACTCAGAGGTGTCTAGCTCAAACCTAGCAGGGCTCAGGTGGATTATGCTGGTTTTTCTATTGGACACGTGTGAACATAACCTTGCTGTTTAGCTAAATTCCTAATGATGCAGAGTAGGAAAAATTCCTACAAAGCGCTGTTGATAATTCCACCAAAAGGTATAAAACTGTGATAAGAGAACTGACGGGGTTCCATCCTGCCTCTGCCACTGATAGGCAATGGTGGCCTTAAGAAGGCCTTCTGAGAGCTCAGCAGACTGCCAAAATGAAATCATGGACAAGGGTGCCTTATTCTATTTTTTCTTTTATTTCTTATTTATATGTGGTGCTAAGAGCCAAACCCACATGCTAGGCAAGCACTCTGCCACTGAGCCACAACCCCAGTCCTCTAATTCTAAATCTTCATAGAAATAGGAATTTTTTTGAGCATTGATTCACTTAAATTAATTCTGCACACTGGAACCGGGGAACCATTGGTATGTTAAGACCCAGTTCAAGGTCACACAAGAGCAACTGCACATGGAACACCTCCCCTATGGGAAGGCCTGCAGGAATGCCAGAAAAGAATGGGAGAAGAAATCCAGGTTACTAAAGGGGGAAGCAGGATGCCAAACACGGGGACAGACCTGTTCGTGTTTGGTGTCCGTGTAACACCAGGGCCTGCTGCCACAGGGATGAGAAAGCACAGTAAACCAAGTGGAGAGCAGGGAGCAGAGGCGAGGGCCTGAGTTGGGTGCCTACCTCTTCCTTACCATATGCTCCCCAGTAGGAGATAAGGAAAATGCACAGGGTGGCTTCTATCTCTGGTGAGAAGCTAGTGGGATAGGCAAGAGTTACAGTTCTTTGGGGCTCACCCATCCACTTGGCTACAAGTCTATTGTTTCCATTTTGAAGAGGATCTTATCTACCTGTGGCTAGGGGGAAGTCATCAGCTTTAAAATCTTATCCTGGGTTGGGCCACCCACTTTGATGGAGGCCAGGGAAATCTGGGTCCCTTGAGGAGAAGTTGCAGGATTTGAGTTACTGCTTCCAATCCCGCCTTCTACACTCTTGGACAATGCCCAGAAAAGTGCCCCCTCCATGAAGTGGGTTTAACAGCCATACTCAGGCCTCCACACAAGCTGGTGCTTGCCTCAGTGAGGATTGACTAGATAGGCCGTGGGTTTTCAAGTATATGCAGCAGGGAAGGCAGGAAGAATCCCCATGAAATGCTAAGCTTACCTAGAGACTTCAGCATCTTAATTCTAAAATCAGGGCTGGGGTGTGGTAGAGCTCTTGCCCAGCATATTGGAGGCCCTGGGTTCAATCCCCAGTTGACACACAAAGCATTTGCCTAGTTCTAAAATCAGCAGAAATGGAAAAGCTGAATAGCAAGAATAATCAAAAGGAAAAAGTCAGATATGGTGGAGTTTGCCTTCATCTCAGCAACTCAGGAGGATTGAAAGTTTGAGGCCATGGGGCTGGGGATGTGGCTCAAGCAGTAGCGCGCTTGCCTGGTGTGCGTGTGACCCGGGTTCGATCCTCAGCACCACATACAAAGATGTGGTGTCCGCCGAAAACTAAAAAATAAATATTAAAATTCTCTCTCTTTTTCTACAAAAAAAAAAAAAAGAAAGTTTGAGGCCAGCCTGGGCAATTAAGAGACTCTTGTCTCAAAATGAAAAAAAGGACTGGGGATGCAGAGGAGTGGTAAAGCACCTCTGGGTTCAATCTCCAACACACACGAACACCAAAAAGGGGGAAAAATAGAGAATGTTTCTGAGTGCCTCAAGGAGTTAATCCCTTTAAGGGGTTAAATCCAAAGTCTTGGAAAAAAAAAAAAAACCTTTAGGGGACTGGCTCCTGAAACTCAGGGGTACAAGCGCTTGCCTAGCATGTGCAAGGCTCTGGGATCAATTCCTAGCACCACAAAAAAGGTAAAAACAAAGCCCCTCAGGGAACCAAACCTTTAACATAAAGGCAGCTGTTTCTATTTTAAAGGGGAAAGAAGCTGAGGTCTTTATCAAGGACCAGGCCGAATCATTTCAGGTCAAGCCACTCTGCTCCAAGAGTGAGCTGTCCTGTGTTCAATGCCCACTGGAGAGGCTTGCTTGATTTAGCTCACTGTAGCCCCTGTAGCTCACTGGGCCCCATACATTTCAGCAAAGAACTGCGTACCCAGACCAGCAGTTCATTTGAAGGTGTTTTAGGTAATTATCCCAGGTGTAAAAAAGGTGTCATGAAGGAGAATGACCTAAGAAGACATGCTGAGATCTTTAGAAGTGTGATATGACACCTCACCCCTAAATATTTTGGCCAAAATAAAGGATGTATAAACAAATATAAGGGGTTGGGGTTGTAGCTCAGTGGTAGAGTGCATGCCTAGCATATGTGAGGCACTGGGTTTGATCCTCAGCACCATATAAAAATAAATAAAATAAAGGTAATGTGTTCGTCTAAAAATAAATAAAATGCAGGAAAAAATCAGTACTCAGTGAATCTTGATGAATAATATAGTTTTCAAAATGCACTCTTTCAGCTTTTCTATAGAATTGAAAAATTTAACAAGTGAATAACTTTTTCCAGAACTTACTTGGAGAATGAATTACATGGCCCTTAATATGCTTGGAGCCCTTCCTGCATTCACACCCCTCCCAAATCAAGATTCCACCACTTACCAGCTTCTTTCTCAAAGCTATTATTTATTCTGTACAAGGTTCCACTGTACATTAGACATTCTTCTACTCTTGCTTACACAGTAAACAAGTGTACACCAGCCCTTGGGCTCAGATTCACAGGTCTTCCCTAGAAAAGGGTGTCAGGCCAGGTAAAACTCAGGGTGTCTTTCTCTGGTGCCTGGTCCCAGGAGCACTGGGATGGTCCAGGCTCCCTGGGGCACAGGCTGGGCCCAGCTGTGGGGTGTGCAAAGTGCACAGTGCTCCATGCCTCAGTGCTGAACAACTTTGCTCTCTGGGATGGCATGGAGTTTTGTCTAACAACTTAGGGCAAAACCCAGGAATCATACAACAGAGGCAAGATGTCCCCAGACACCCAGGCTCCAGCTCCTAAGGAAGGACCAAAGGCCAACACCAAGAGGAGCTGAGGGGTGGCATGGGCATCCCTGAGAAACTCGGTCCAGAGGGCCTGTGTCTAGGAGGCTCTGAGAAGGGGCAGGTGGCAGGAAGGCAAGGGGAAAGGGATGTTAAAAGAGAATAAATTAAAGGAGAGAAGCTCGAGGGACAGGGGGCTTGTGCTATCCTTCAAACAGCTAGGGAGTAGACCAGGGTAGGTAAGAGGTGGCGGGCAGGAAGGACTGATACACTATCTTAAGAAATCGTTTTACCTACTTCCCTCTTAGCCTCACTGCAATGCACAACGTACCAGGGGCTCAGGGCGGGACCCTATTTCCCCCAGTGGGTTTGAACATGGCACTGGGGAAAAGGGAAGGGACTGAGGGATATTTCAGGGAGGGGCAGTTACCCCCTGGTCCCCAAATGCTATAAGGCACAATTCTTGGAGGCAACTAGATTCCATCGAAAACAAAATGAAAAACCCAAAACAAAAACTTGTTTAGATCCCAGGTCTACTGTGGTGTGCTTGGGCCTGGCCAACCCCGCCTAGCACCACAGGGGGCTAGCACTGGGAAAGTTCTACTTGAAGAATTACACAAAAAGGACCAGCCCAACATGCCAGCTGTGACGAGGTGTGGAGGAGAGGGTCTCCAGTCCGAACACTTTCATTACTGTAAGTAAAAAAAGCTGGGCATTAAAAAAAAACCCAAACCAGCTTTCCTCAAAGATGTCCCCTTGCCTGTGCCCTTGGAGTTAGCAGCGTTAAGAGGGCTCTTGGCTCATGGGTGCTTCCTGCTCTGGACCGGTGAGCAGGTCCAGGTAGAGACAGGCGCCAGCTCCTCAACGGTGCCATGATTCAGGCAATGAGGCTCCCAGAAGGCTCCAGAGGGCGCTGTCTTCCCAGGAGGCGCAGGGGCTGGAGAGGACAGCAGGTGGACGAAGATCTTCTCCCCACAGACTGCTGTTGTTTATTACACACAGGAAAAAACCACAAGCTTAAAAATGCACACAAGAGAAGCCGAGGGAGCACTGTGCTGACTCCGGTCTCTGTGTCCAGTGGATCTTCCCGCCAGGCCATGGCTTGGGGGCACCCAGCTCCTTGCTCCAGACCCTGACCAGGCTGCATCAACTCCTGCTCAGCAGCTTTATTTTAGTTTATTTTTCTCTTATTTGTCAGGTTTTTTTTTTGTTGTTGTTGTTTTTTTAGTTTTTTTTGTCTTTTTAAAAAACTTAGGGTGTGGGGCCACCACAGGGAAGGGGGAAGGGCTGTAGCTCCTTGCTGCTACATACGGGAGGGTGGACTGGCCAACTCGTAGAAGAGCAAATAGGCGTCGCTGGTGCGGACTTGGCTGGAGGACATGGGCGTGACACTGTGAAGAGAGCAGGGAAAAGTCAGAGTCCTGGCCCGGGAGGCCATCAGGTTCACAGAGCTGAGTGGCTGAAGAAGTGTGAGGCCCCTGTCTCTCACTTCTCTATTACACACCCACCGCCAAACTCTGTTGGTTTGGTTAATACTGGGGGTTGAACTCAGGGGAACTTTACCACTGAGCCACATCCCCAGCCCTTTTTATTTTTTAAAAAAATTTGAGACAGGTCCTCCCTCAGTTGCTAAGGTGGCCTCAAACCTGGAATCCTCTTGCATCAGCCTCCCAAGTTGCTGGGACTACAAGGCATGCGCCACCAGGCTTGGCCCAACTTCTGTCTTTTGATAGCCTCAGGATGGGCAGACTTGTGTGTGTTAAGTAGCTTTTGAGCACGCACTGAGAGACATATGGTCTGACAGCCAGGAGCCCTGCCTGAGCCCCCTCTCTCACCTGGAGTCATTGAAAGTGTGCCATTCGCCTGTCACTGGACTTCGGCAGTAGGCTGTATAATGGCCGCCCATGGTGGTTCCGGAGTGATTGGACACAGCATACAGGTTGTAAACAGCGTGGTCTGGGGAGGAAATGCAAGGCATTGAGTCCGGAGGCATTCTCTACCGCCCTATTCCCTCCTCCTGCCTCTTCTTCCCAATCTTTTGCTAACTCATGTTAGCTTCCTGCCATTTCCTTGCTTCCCACCTGTATCTTAGACACTGTGCCCTGATTCTTCACTTCTTGAAGATACTCACTGGTGTTTTCTGAGGCAAATTCTCTCAAGTCCAGGTCTTTTAGTGGGAAATTCACAAATGTTGTGAGCTTGCTGGTTCGTATCCTGGATTCTGAGAACCGCTTCAGGTCTGGGATTGATGAGTTAAGGACAGATGGCATGGCAAGGACAGAGGCAACTAGATGAGACCACACAAGCAACTGCACCTTCCTCAGGAAGCAGAAAAGCAAACACAAGGAAGTCTACAAGTTTTAAATTTTCCTACTCTGCTCCCCTCACCAAAATCTCTTTGTCATCAGTCATTCTCATAAGTCAGGTCCCTGCTAGGTGCAGTGGCACAGGAGGCTGAGGCAGGAGGACTGCAATTTCAGTCAGCCTCAGCAACTTAGGAGACCCTGTCTCTAAATAAAATTTAAAAAGGGCTAGGGCCAGGTGCAGCAGTGCAAGCCTGTAATCCCAGTGGCTCAGGAGGATGAGATAAGAGAATCACAAGTTCAAAGCCAGCCTCAGTAATGGCGAGGTGCAAAGCAACTCAGTGAGACCCTGTCTCTAAATAAAATACAAAATAGGACTGGGGATGTGTCTCAGTGGTTGAGTGCCACTGAGTTCAATCCCAAGTACTCCCCCCGCCAAAAAAAAAAAAAAAAAAGCCAAGGCCCAGGGACCTTAAGGATACGGAGCACCAAGATCTTTGGGAACCTCTGGATGGAGAACTTCTTTATACATCTTTTTCTGGCTCGGCAGCGACAGCATGTCTGAAAGACAAGATAAACAGAGCTAAAGAACCTGTGGGAGAAATCAAAGGGCAAGTCCAGTAACTCCTCGGCTGGACTTTCCCAGAGAAGTCTCATGGAAATATGTTGTTGCTGTCACCAAAGGATGACTTACTGGCTTTTCATCACCATCAAGCACATCCTCTTTGGTGAAGAGCCTCATGCAGTCCATTAGTGTTACCTCAGGATAACCTCGCTGGAGAAAAAAAAAAGTAAAGGTCAGCTGTTGATGACATGGAAGGACAGGAGGGAGCTCCAAACGTGGGGCAACAGTAGTGCATACCTTAGCAATGGGCAGTGAGAGGTCCCAGAAGGGATCAAAGACTGTAGAGCAGTAACCACAGTCGGTACATGTCAGGGAGCTCTTTAGCTGCCCAACAAAGAGATCTGGGAAGAGAAGGTCAGGAGATGCTGAACACGGGGGGTGCACACAGTCTTCTCACTGTTCCTGCCTCAGTTTGTTGGATGTGGGCAGAAGCACAGTTCCCCGCAGAATGACTCTTAAGGCTTTTCTTTTTTGCAGTGCTGATGGGACCCAGGGCTTCACACGTGCTAGGCAAGTGCTCCCCCATTGGGCTGACCCCAGATCTACTCAGGGCTTTTTTTTTTTTTTTTTTTTTTTTTGAGAGAGAATTTTTAATATTTATTTTTTAGTTTTTGGCGGACACAACATCTTTGTTTGTATGTGGTGCTGAGGATCGAACCCGGGCTGTACTCATGCCAAGTGAGCGCGCTACCGCTTGAGCCACATCCCCAGCCCATACTCAGGGCTTTTCATGCTCCGCTCAGGTGAAACAGATTACAATAAGGCAGCCATTTTTTCCGTCTGTGCACTTACCCCCAATCCGACTGTCTTCTCGTTCTAGATATTTCCTCCACATCTGTCGCCCTTTTTCATCATCACTGGGAACCAAAGAAGGAAGAAAACTAGGTCAGAGCTCTAACCATGTTAAGCTTAAGGGTATGTCAACGTGGATCTTTGATCTTCAAAAGCAAATCTGGTTCTCCCCAAAATCATTTACCCCAAAGAAATAGGCTGAAAATTCAAGTTCACAAAAGTTTTGTTTCCATATAGCATCCTCCCCTACTTACGGGAGATGATCAAGGTTCTCAGGGTTGGACTTAGGCCTCACTGTGACTCGGTTCACCTCATTGTGGAGCCCATCCAGAAGAAAGCGGAGGAACTCCTGAGCATCCTGCTGACTAACCCAGAGAAAAAAGTGTGAGCAACACTTCTGTATCAAGGCTCTGCTCTTGCTGCCACCCACCCTGGGAGGACATGTCTGCAGGGCCCTTACTTATAACCAACGAAGCGTGGTGCATATCTCTGGATCTGGGTCTTGAACTCAGAAGGGCTCACCACATCATTGGGGGATGAAGTCCATATGGTCTGGATTAGTTTTGCAAACTCTGTTGAAAGAAGAGAACAGAGAAAGGGTGTGGAGGGCAGGTGAGATATTTTCTATAAGAAACTAAAACTAGAATCCCAACAAAAAGTAGGCAAAGACAGAAAAGTAGAGAGGTATTTCTAAAACACAACTATTTGCACTATTCGAGTAGAGTGGAAAAAGCATCAAGTGAGGAAGCAGGGCCATGTCCATGCAGGATTCCTCACCTTCCATGAGGGTTGTGTGTGCATTGCTGGTGTGGCTGAGGTCCCGCATATAGAGCCTCTGGAGGCAGTAATCTCTCAGCTCCCGGGTGTTGCTCAGGCACTGCAGAATCGAGTTCATGAAGCACTGCAAGAGATGATCCAGAAAATCAGCGGGTACCACAGTATTGACCTTAAATGTCCCCCAAAGATTAGAAACTTGGACCCCAGCCCATGGTGCTGGACATTTTAAGTGGGGCTCTAGGGGAGGTCTTTAGGTCACTGGGAATACACCCTTGAAGGGGACTGTGGGACCCCAGTCTCTTTTCTCTTTCGTGTCCTGGCCATGAGGTGAGTGGTTTTGCTTTACCATGTTCCTGCCATGATGTGCTGCCTCACTGTAAGCTCAAAGCAATAGGGCCAATTAATTGTTCATGAACTGAAACCTCTGTGAGCCAAAAACCGTGTTGTCTTTATAAGTTGATTTATCTCTGGTATATATTTATCTATACAGTGGGGGAGATCAAACTTTTATGTGGCATCTCTATTACTTAGCACCAAAGTCTCTTTGTTTCATCTACCTAGAAATGAACTTCTTACAGCCTCAAGTTTCTCTTTTTCTATGTGAAGGGGGTGAAGTGAAGCAAATTGCTACTATTGGCCCAGGAGACATAACTGGTTGTTTACAACTGAGGTGAGCAAAAGGGAGTGGGTACGCTGGACAGAAGGGGTGGGAAGCAATGGGTATCCTCAAGGAGAAGGATCCAGGAGAGGAGCAAGCTGACAGTTAAAAGGGGAACTTCCTTTTGGCAGTGCTTCCTGCTGGGGGCGGGTGAGGCAGAGCCTAGCAATTCCATGAAACACTCGCCAGGAAGGACAGGTACCAACTGCCCTAGAGGGCAGGGAGTCAGTTGGAGCCAGGAAGGGACTCTGGTTAAATTTTCCCAGTCAGAAGAATAGGAGTGGCCCCAGGAAAAAGGTAGGCTAGGAAGAACTTACCGTGTTCCCAAGGTTTCGAAGACCAGCCAGACCCTGGGCACTCTTAGAATTCTGTAAGCAAAGAACACAAAATATGTAAGAATGAGGCAAAGTGGCTGGCCCTCTGCTGGGCTCTCTCATGCAACTGTCTGCCAGCTGGAGCCATAGCAGCAGGCCACACCTGTTTTCTTTTCAACCTTAGTCCCTGTACCTTGGAGGAAAGAGGGCTGAAGAAAACACAACTAAAACACAACTATTTGCACTATTCGAGTAGAGTGGAAAAAGCATCAAGCGAGGAAGCAGGGCCATGTCCATGCAGGATTCCTCACCCTCCATGAAGAAGGCTTATTAATTTCAACACACAACAAAAAATGTTCTTCAGGGGTTTTCTTTCTTGTATGCACTACATATTCCCCATCTTTATGTTATTGTAAATTCTCTTCTACAGTAGTGACTGGAGATTAGAACTACAGACTAGGGATTCATATATTAGAGTATTTAAGTCCCAAATCCAGGCCTGTCTCAAATGACCTACATTTAGACTAGATGTCCAATATAGAAAGCAGCTATCCTAACAGGCACTTCAAGGAGCTTATGAAAAGTTAAATGACAAAACACCCAATTAAGTTTCGATATTCAGCTGCGAAAAACTCAAGTCGTCTACCATTCTGAATTGTCAGAGACAGGTGGAATTCCTTCCAGCTGAGCTCAGCTCCTAAGGGCTGATGAAAGGCTGGGAGAATCCTCCCTGCCTGGTTCCGGTTTCAACATCCTGACTGGCCACTGACTTGAGAATCCTTCTTATGGCATACTGCAGCCAAGCCGAGGTGAGCACCTGGCTGAAGGTGCCACTCTTGCTCTTGTCTCTATTGTGGAGGTTGGTGAGGGGGCTGGAGAGAGAGCAGGTGCTAGATTGCGGACTCTGAGCATTGTTTGTCAAGGGATCTTGGCTAATCCTGGGCATACCTCCAAAGGAATCAGAAGACCTTCAGCCCAAAGGGTTAAAGAAACAGTTTACAGGTGAGTCTGCCGCTCCCTCTTTCAGGAAGGGCACCTGGGAGCAGGCAACTCTGGAGCAACACTGGCTGGGGCATGCGTGGGGCCAGCTCAACCCTGATCAGAACAGGAGCCTGAAATAACTCAGCTAAAATTACTCATGCCATGTGCTGACAGCCTCATAGGCTGTCAGCAGCTCAAAGCCCATGAGATTGTCAGTTGGGGGTGGGTGGGGAGGAGCAGGTTGAAGGAGGGCTTTTCTCAAGAACTGCCTTGCCCATCCCATAAGTAAGAGGATCCCTTCCCTGGCCAGTTGTCAGGTCCAATCCTAACAGGTAAGGGAGAAAATACAACCAGAAGAGAGACCTGATTTAAAACTGGGGCTGGAAAGAACGCCTACTGGCAGCAGGTGGGGTGTGAGCATCCTGCTTGCTGGGGATGGCAGGATGCAGCCACAAACAAAATCTGAATTTTACCTCACTGACAATCTAAACCCCAATGTTCTAGGAAAAGGGTCACCAGAGATGATTCCCCAGGACAGAGATCTTATTAGCATTTTCAGGCAGAATTGATGAAAGATTCCCAGGGGGCCCAACAACAACAACAACAACAAAGGCTACAGAAGTCTCCATGTTGCCCATTTGGAACCATACTTAAATGTTAAGTGTGCCCACACAGAATGCCCACTCTTACACCTATTTTTGGCAGTGCTTTATTAGCTCTTATCCTCTGTGCCTCAGACGACATCTGTCTAAACAGGCTGTATATGCAAAGCATTCTACCACTGGTGACCATGTCCATATACACCAAAGCAGGCCCTCAGCTGAGACAATATCACACCAAGCACTAGTGGGGGTGGGGAAAGGACACCAGAGTCATCTGCCTACAGAGGCACTCCTGTTTTCACTCTGACCCAGCAGTGGGAGGTAAAGGAGGGTGTTTCATCTCTCATGGTTACTATTCCTAAGGATCTAATACTTCTGTTGGTCTTGGGGTGGGGAAAGGAGAGAGGATCCTTTAAGGCATCACTAGACCCCTCTGCTAATTTTAATTTTTCTTTTTTAGGATGGGGAGTTGTGCTTTTGTCTAAAATTTCCTGAGTTTAAAACTGCATGCCAATTTCTGAGCACTCTGTGTGGAATGTGGGGGGTAGCAGTCAGGGGTAAGAGACTAGGGGAGATCAGGGCTGCTCTATGCCCAGCCAGATATTCTTCTGCCATGAATAGGAAATCAGGAGCTCTAGGGAAAGTCAGCACTTTCCATTCCAGAGAGGAACAAAATGTTCCAGGAGTGACCTTTCTTACAGGGCAAACAATCCTACCTCAGCCTGGCAGGGAGAGAGAGGCTAGAACTTGAGGAGGTGGGATAGAGACCCTGCAGAGGCAGCCTTTTACAGGGAAAGCAGAAGGAAAGCTGTTATGCTGAGACTCATGTGCAAAGAGTTGAGAAAGTTTGGACCCTGTGCTCCCTTATACTAAGCCATCAACAAACCTAGTTTTGACTCTGTAGCAAGCTCTGTTCTAGAGAGCAGATGCCACCTCTAGAGTTGGTAAATAGCACTCCTTTCCCAGGGCAGGAGCCAGGGCTCAAAGAGTTGTCCCCTGGGCTAATGCAGAGGTGTCATCTTGGGTATGGGGCCTACTGAGGTTTTTGTCTTCATACTGGAGACCCCAGTCTTCATATTGGAGACGCTTTTTACCTGCGCAGGGAGGGTCAGCCATGAGTCCTGGCTGCAGCCAAGGAGCCCAGTGTGGCCCTGGCACGGGGCAGGACACGCACTGCCAACACGGGAGCTGCTGCCTGTTACATAAGACCTGTCAAGCTCAGGCCCCTTCTCCCTTCCCCAAGGGGACGGTGCCCAGCCTCAGTCCCAGCATTACTCAGGGCAGCTGCTTCCATTGAGGGATCCCCTGCCTACTTCCCACACCTGGAGGGCCTGCAAGAGAAAGGAAGTTGCCCCCTTTTACCTGTCTGCAACTCCTCTGCCCTTCACGGGGTCAAAGGACCCCGTCACCAACCCCTGGGCGAGAGCCCTTTGGGAACAGAGTGGGAGGCGGCCCCTTCGACCAGCCTTCCTTGCTGGAGTCTGGCCTGGGAGGAGTCACCCGGCAGAGTCCAGCGTGCTGCCGGTTCCCTCACACACCAGCCCTAGTCAAGGTTACGCTTTCCTGCACCTGTCCTGATAGGTGCCCGGAATTAAGAGACCGAGAGCCACCTGGTGCCCAGGTCACCGACAGGGAGGGTAAGGGGGACTCGGAGGTTGGGACCTGGACAAGGGGAGGGGGCAGCGAGTAAGAGTGTGATCACCTGGGGAGGGGGCATTCCTTGCTGGGAGACCATGGGAAAGGAGGGGTGGGGGCTGGGAAGAATCCGTCCCCCCCGCTGAGGGGCGCGTGGCGGTCCGGGGACATCCTGGGGAGGAGGCGGGACCCCAGACCCTTGGCGTGGGGGGTCCCGGAAAGGGGCCCGCGTACCTTGGCTTTGTTGAGCAGAAGCCCCACGAAGGTGGAGAGCAGCAGGGACGGGGAGAGAGGGGAGCGCGGCCTCAGCTCCTTGGCGAGGGCGGGAAAGGGGGCGGCCGGGGGCTCCTCGGGCAGGGTCACCGTGTACGAGGTGCGCATGCTGGGGGGCGGGCGGCGGGCTCGGCCCCACGTCTAACGTTGGTCAAGGGGGCACGGGGAGTCCCCGCGCGGTGCCACAGCCGGCACAGCAAGGCCGGCAAGGCTGCCACAGGACACGGTCCGCGGCGCCCGGCGGTAACTGTTACCGCGGGGCGGACCGCGCGCCCCTCCACCTCAACCTCCCCACCGCGCGCCGCCAACCGCCCCGGCTCGGCTCTCGCGCTCCCGCGGACTGCCAGCCGGGCCGGCGCCTCGGGCCCTGCGACGTCAGCGCCAGGGCGGAGCCAGACCCGAAGCCCCGCCCATCCCCGACACGCGGACACCAGCGAGGCCGCAGGGCCTGCCCCCTGCCGCTCGCCGGTTCTGCTCCGCGCCGGGCAGCTAGGTGACCCCCGGCCCGACCCGGCCCGACCCGGCCCGTCCGGGTCCGCCAGCAGCAAAGGGCTGTAGGTCCCCCGGAGGGGGCGAAATCGAAACACGCAGCCCCAACTCAGAACAAGTTGTCGTTGGGGGCCGCAGAGGACGCCTCCTCAAGACCCAGCGTCACGCGGGTGAGCTTCCGCCCAGGCAGCATAGAACCCCGAACTTTTGGGTGCCGCAGATCATTTCGAGGACCTCACGAGAGCTCCCTACTATTTTCAGGGCAAAATGCATACATGGCATAAACTTGTGTTCAGCATTCAGGGGGACCCAGGCCCTCAATCTGTGTGGGTGGATGGGCCCAGGTAAAGAAGAAAGATTTCCACGGCCTTGGCACTGAGTTTCCATCCTCCAAGCTTAGTTTGGCCCATCATCAAGAGAGGCAGTACTGGTTTTATAAGGTACAATAGGTCACCGGCCCTTTTGGCCCCAGGAAAGAACCTTTTTTTGGGTACCCAATTACTCAACTCCATCTCTTTGAGAATCTCAAATTTGAGTCGTTTGTGGGAGGTGGGGAGATCAGGGCTCAGCTGGTGTTGGGGTGAGCATTCTGCTCTGACCCCAAGTGCAGCAGTACTTGGAAGAACCAGGGGGTCTTGAGGGGCGGTTTTTTTATGCTCCGCCCCCTCACCTAAAACAGGGAAGTGCACGAATCAGCCTAGAGAAAGTATCTTGTTTGGAGCTTGCTGGCTATTTTTAGCCAGTATCTTTAGAGTTTAAAAATACTCTGAGAGGCAGCAGTGTGTGCTGTTACTCATCTGTGGGCTCCTTCTGTTCCTCCTGGCGTGCTCATCCCCACATGTACATGAGCATTGCACACATGACCACAGACACATGGAGATTGGGCCCGGGACACATGTGTGGGCTAGGCCACCCACAAAACAGCAATTTAGTGATAATGGGAGGGAGAGTATCATCACCATGACCTCTTCTAGTATTGGTGACAGCAGGAGGGGGCAGGTGACAGGAACCGCAGGCTGCTGTGCTCTGTGATCCTTGAGGGCAGTCTTGTCTGGAGTGTGATCTCCAGACTCTGACCTAACCTGGACACGGCAACAGCCTTTTTTCCTCCAAGCTTCCTTCTCTCCAGCTACGCCCTTTAGAGCAGGTCCTGTATTGTCTGCACAAAGCTTGAATTCAATAGCATTGTGTCTTCTCTGAAACAACTACAGTGGCTTACATCCAGTCGGGAAGACTCAGGTAATGCCTAAGGCCATTCTCCATGGCTTCCCTCCACTGTCACCATTCTCCTGCTTTTCTGCTCCCTACCACCAACTGAACTGCTCTTATTCTCTGCTTAAAAAGAAAACTGCCAAACAACAACAGACCTGCCACTGATTAAGTCCTTATTAAATGTCAGACACTATTCTAAGGGCTTTATATATATTATCCAAGTTAATTTCCATAATTACATGATGAAGTAGTAACTATTATCTCTATATTACAGATGAAGCCCATAGAGGTCAAATGACTTGCCAGGATCCGAAGGCTAATAAATGATGACACTGTGGAATTTTGAGCCCAGACCTGTCTAATAACTCACACTTTTAACAATTGCTAAGAAATTCTGGGATGCCCTTTCTGCTCTCTGCCAATTACTTACTTGGAAATTCTGCTCAAAACTCATATCTTCCACAGTCTTCTCTAATTAACTCCACCCAGTTCTAAACACCCCATTACTGCATATCCTCAGTCTACTACTAGCATTCAGTTTGCATGCTATTAATTCATCTTAATGTGTTTATTTTTGTTTTATAAGTGTCTCTAAACTTTCGTAAATGGTCTTAGATTGTGTGTGGTTTGTCTTGGTTGTGCCAGCATGCTGAAGCCTCCTCAAGGGCAGGGTTGTGGATTCTCTTAATGAGGTCTTAATGAAGACAGACCAGGCTCTGCTGGGAATCCTGCAAGTCCCACTGAGCCTCAGAGGGTGGGGTGTGAGTCTGGTTCTGCATGTTGAGCAAGTGTGCTGTGGGTGGGGGGGCACTGCCCAAGAGTGTTCACCCACTGCAGCATTTGGCCTGTGTCCCCATGACTTAGAGCCAGTGACGTGAGCACTCCTGCCCCAGGACAGCTTGGCATTCTGCCATGAACATTCTCAATCGTTCCTGGGATGCAGGAGATTGGCAGGGAGCAGCTTGCAGGAGCAGCTCGCTGGGAGCAGGGTGGGCCAGATGGGGAAAGCTCTAGTGTGCGAGTGCTTTGAGAAGTCTGGGGTGAGTAGAAAGACTTCACACAGGATTCAGTCTTATCCAGAAGGTCTGGCTGCTCCCAGACACAGCGAACAAAAAATTACAGCTTGTTTCTCAACTAGCCCAGTCCCTGGGAGACCCTTTTTCCCTAGTGCCATTTCTTGAAGTGGGCTTTGCACAAAGGAGATCATCTTTTGGGATCTGAGTGTGGCCTAGGCTCTGTGACTTTCTATGCTTAGGTATATCAAGATAATCTGAGCTGGGCTCATTCCTGAAGCCCAATACTCCCATTTCTCAAAACTTGGGCTTGCCTGCTTCCCATGTAGGATGTCATGTTCTTCACCTCACATCCTTCCTGGCAAGAGATGGAGTATGAATACATTAAACTCTGAATTAGCTCTGTGAGGCCAGGACCTAAGATTGTCCTCTTTCAGATCTGAATATTGGTCCAGAGTTTGGTGACATTGCTTGGGCTTAGGCATATGTCTCAAGGCCAGTGGCCTGGTTCCTAGCAAGTACCTACAGTTGCTATAGTAAATGGATAGACTGGTGGTCTGATTGACAGAGATGAAAAGGTAGAGGCTCTGAATCCTTGTTAGGGGTTGAGCTTGTAGTCCACAGTGTGCCTTGGGAGGAGGGTCAGTCTGCTTCCCTCACTAGCTGGAGGAAGTTCTGTGTCCCTGTATGACTTGGATCCCCCCCTCCACACACACAAGGGGCCAAGATAATTCTCTGTACTCTTTTAAGCCCCAGGCAGTCTGGCCTGAACCAGCTGGATTCCAGAAGCCCACATACTTCCTTCTCTTGCTTATACCTCTGTTCGGGGTGCCAGTTTTACTTATCCATTGAGGTAAGGGGGGCAGGCAAAGAGCCAAGTGTGCAGCTCTGGGCTTTGAACATGATGTTTATTTCTAAAGCCGATGGTCAGTGGAGCGGCTCCCCCAGGGGCAGGGAACATTTTGCCAGGCTTGGATTAACTTCTGCATTGCTGAGCCCCACCCCAGCACCACATTAACTCCTGAAGATGTCGTGGGGTAGGGGCAGAGGAAAAGGCAGGGAGGATGGATGGTTCTGGTCACTGATTGAGAAATCAAACCTGGGTTTGGCAGTGCTAAGGCCACCAACCAGGTCACAGCCCACAGCCAGTCTTCAAGGAATGGAGACATCAGCATCTTGCTGATTCTAATCAAACCACAAACTAGCTGTCCTTTCCTTCTCAGCAGCTAGTACTGGCCCTCCCTGGCTGTGAGAACTCTCCATTAATGCTTTCCCTGAGTGACCTTCCTGTGCTGGCAGCACAGATTCAAGTCCTCTGGAATTCTGATCTCCTCAGGGTAGCTGAGTGAGCCTGGGGTGAGGATGGGCCCCAGGGTCTCAAGCTGCCAAGCTGGACAAGCCAGCAGGGATGCAGTCCAATGTGGCCAAGTCAACAGGAGTAAGGGATGAGAGAGGAAGGTCAGCTTCTCTCTCACCTAGGAGCTCTTGGGCAGCCCTGCCATCCTCAGCTGCTCTCCATGGAGAACCGCCACTTGCTGCAGGGCAGCATTCAAGTCCAAAGTCCCACCTGAGAGGAAAATCACATGACCTCAGTTTATATAATCTCCCTGTCATTGAACAGCTGGAACCCAAGGCCTCAGAAGATGAGTCAGCAGCCCCAGGGGCAAATAGGACCCAGGTACTCAGGTTCCATCGCTTGTAGGAATAGTACTCTAAGCTGAGAACAAGGGTGTGCAGGAGAATTGGCTGGGTCAGACTCCGAGCCTTGGTCTCTGACTCTCTGTTGAGGAGCAGGTGCCCAGCCTGCTGACTGTGCTCAGGAAGGCCCTGGGCCAACCCCTGGCTCTTCTTGGGGAGAGAGGGGGAGTCTGGGAGGGGTGAGTGTAGGGCTGATGCCAGCAGGCAGAATGCCAGGGCTGGCAAGGAGCAGCTGGAGGGGTGGAGCGGAGGAGGATTAGGAAGGATTGTAGGGGTTAAAGCGCAGCCTGGCAGGGCTCAGTGGGAACAGCTTGTCCTTCTACAGGCCCCAGGAACAGGAGAGGTGGGGCAGAGTGGGGAGATGATGGGTCGGTGCTCCAGCTCCTGGCTCTGCAGGGCCTAGCCACCTGGGCTGGCTTGTAGTCCCCACTGGGGATAACCAGCTATTATTTTTCACCATCACTGCCCTGCCTGGCTCACCTGTCTGCATTTTTAGCCGAAGGTGAAGCCTTTGGGCAGACCCTCATTGTCCTAACGCTGTGCTGCACCCCTCAGACTGGCATTTTGTTGGTGTCTGCACAGGCACGGGGAGGGGGTTGTTCAGAATTCATGTTCCTCCCCACCAGTTCTTTACTCATACTCAGTGGAGTCTGTAATATTCCAAGTTCATGGTGGCTGTTACTGTTAATTAGGGGAAGGAGTCTCGTTGGAACAGTTCTATTCCTGCTCAGGGCTTGCGTCTGACCTCCCTTTCTCTTTGAAAACCAACTGTAGGTCAGGTTAGCCCTTTGAGAGTCCTAGGGTATAGGACACACTTCCTCACTTGTTCCTCCTACAGGGGGGCCTCTCCCCACTGCAAAATACATCCCCCCTTTATCATCTCCATCCCATCTGAAGTTTATTTTTGGTGTTGGGGATGGAATCCAGGGCCTTATGCATGCTAGGTAAGTGCTCTACCACAGAGCCACATCCCCAGCCCTGCCTCTTACGTTTGAATGAACTATTCCATAGCATTTTACTGATTTTAGATTCCCCACATTCATTATTTGTTTTGAGCCTCGTGGCATTCCTGTGAGATGGGCAGGGCAGGTGTGATCATTCCCTTTTATAGATGAGGAAATACAGCTCAGCTGATAGGTGTCCAAGATTTACAAGGCAAACTGTACCTTCCAGAGGTCATGGGAAGCCTGCCTCAGCCTCAGATGACCTCTTCCTTTCTCACCACTGACTGCACTTAAACACACCCAGGACAACCTCCTATTGTTATTATTTGAGAACTGATTTCTCTAAGTGAATTGTGAGTACAACAAAGGCAAACCAATGGCTTGCACATCTCTTGCCTTCCAAAGCACCTGGAAGAGTACAAAGAGGATTGACATTTACTGAGCACCTACAATGTGCCAGGCACTTTCACATACATTACTGTTAATTCCTCACAAAATGTATGAAGTGGGAACTATGAGCACTCTCATTTTACAGAACAGGAAACAGGTTCAGAAGTTAAACAACCTACTCAAGCTAGATGCTGAGCACTCAGTACTAGGCATTGAGTGTTGGGCTAGTAAAGCATGAATGAATGGATAAAAAGATGAAAAGATGCCCACACCCCAAATGGAGATCTGAAGAGAAACTGGACCTGATTTTAGAAAGAAGTGGACTAGGCCACATGAGCCGGGTTGTTCTCACCTGTATAGGACACAATCAGCTTCCAGAAGTGAGAACAAAAGGAGTGAGGTAAACAAAGGTCTTAGGCCTCTGAGCCCCCTGAAGTCACTGTAGGGCATCCCTGACCACTTAAGAGTGTTGTGAATTGCTTCTGGATGGGGGCAGAGGGGAAGGATGTTAGGGCCACTGTGTTTGTCCCAGGGCAGTGTGCCACTCCTCTGAGGTCCTCTCTCAAAGCTTCTCTCTCCCTGGTCCTGGGGGTTAGGGTGGGGCCAGTTGGGCCCTTGGGAAGGGCAGCAGACTCCAGGGAGAGCTGGCCTGTGAGGAAGGAGGCAAATTCCCAGTGGAGTTTGACTCCTAGTTGAGACACCCTGCTCTCTCATGATAGGGTATTGGGGTAGGGTCTATAATTCAGTATTTGGGGAGCAGGTTTTCAACTTGAACATGCTTAGAAATCACACGAAGAACTTGTGACAAGGGCAGATTCCCAGGCATTATCTCCATAGAATTTGTGTCAGTGGGTCTGGGTACACTGTTAAGTCCTGCAGGTGATTTTTGATATAGGTAATCTGCAGACTCCTCTTGGAGAAACACTGCTTACCAGAATGTTCTGTTTTGAGCAAAGGGAGGCAGTCCCCAGAAGCTTCTAGGGCCTATGCCACCTCATGAACAACATCTGACTTGTCCAAGTGAATCCTGCTCCACCTTAAGCATACCTTAAGCACAGTTCTGTGAGAGCAGGTGTTTCTCTTCCGGGTCAGCTCTCCTGACACAGTCTCACACTTGCTTCTACACTAGGTCTACTAGTTCTACTAGCTCTTTAGTACAGGCAACCCTGCCTTGTGGGGGTCTAAATGACCTGGGAGACTCCAGCTTATCTGTCTTCCTTGGTACTTCCCAGATGGCCCAGCAAGACCAAGGCTCTCTAAGTAATGCCATCAGAATTGTTTTCTCAAATCTTTAGTTATGACACACTTTACAGTGCCCTGTCTCTAGAGCTGGACCCTTACTCCCTTTGCCTAGGCAAGAGCTCTAAGCAGCATTTCTTGCTGTGGCACAGCTGTTGTTCACAAAAGGCACATGACCTATGAGAGGGAGAAAATAAGGTAATGGAGATCACACAGCATCCAGCCCTCTTGCCTGTATGCCTATCTACCTGTCCATCCAGCTATCCATGAATCCATTCACCCACCCACCCACTCATCCATCCATCCATGAAGTCAGCAGGTCAGCTGAGTTCCATGCTCTATGAGGCACAAGAGGGATCTAGAGATAGGATCTTTTCCAGTCTCTGACAACTCGCCATCTAATGGGCACACTAATAACTACAGAAAAGGTGGAATGTAGTTAATGCCTCTGGAGAGGTATTTTCAGGAATTAGATATGAGGGAGACCATGCTAGTCAATTGGTCAGTCTCCAGCAAAGCTGCTTTCTTGGTTCCAACCCACACAGGAATATAGAGGTATTAGATTGTCTCAAGCCCTAGTAAAAAATGTCTCCACAATTTTCTCCAAAGGCACTTTAGTCCTGGTGTCCAGACATGCTGGGCCTTAGCCCATTAGTGTCCATTAGAGGAAACTTCCTCTTCTTCTGGTGTCTTAGGCCCAGATGTAAAGCCTGAACAAGAGAGACGCAGCCAGAGCAGACAGGACCCATTTGCCACAAGGAACCCTGGTAGTCTGGAGGCCCCAGCATCTAGCTCTCTGGCATTTTGTCCGGAACAGGATAGGTGGAGGATAGCAGTGTGTGTGTGTTTGTGTGTGTGTGTGTGTGTTTGGGGAGTAGCCAGGTCATTTGGAGAGTGATGCTGAAGCACCTCCAAGCATACAGGTCCTTGGGAGAGCGGGAACCCTCTTACCCTGGCAGTGTGACAGGAGGGCACCAGACACGCTGGGATGACTTTTCCTGCTTGTCTCCACTAGGCTTGCCATCCACCATCAGTTAGGTTGGAAGTCCTGACCTTAACCTGGCTCTTCTGCATTAGCAGCTGTCTCCCCAGCCCATCACTGGGTCCCCAAGGGTAAACTCACCAAGGCCTCTCGTACTGGTGAGCTGGAGCGGCTGGGCCCAGGGGCCTGGCCCTTGCTCTTCTCCCACAGCGTGTAGCGGCCACTGGGTCGGAAGGTGGGACTGAGAACTTCAGGGACTCGTGAGGAAGGGGCTTGCGTGAGCACCTGAGGTGCACTGCCCTTGCGACCATAGTTCTCTAGGTAGTCGGTCAGGTACTCCGAGCGGCTGGCTGCCTGGTAGAGCCCCTGCAGGGCACAGAGCTCCTTGCGTGTGCGGGCCAGCATAGGGCTGTGGCCTAGGTTCCCGGGGTCTATCCGGTAGCCATCTGAGGTCCGGTAGCTATCTGAAGTCCGGAGGCTGGAGAAATCCCGAGCCAGGTCTGATTGGCTATTCGATTTCTTCTGGGTCAAGGTTACCCCCTGGTCACGAGCATTCACAGGCAGGTAGCTGAGGGAGTTGCTGGTCACTCCGTAAGGGAATCCACTGCCCCCATTAAGTCCACTGCCTGAAGACCGCTCAGTGCCCCGGGTCTGACTCTCTGCTCGCTTACTACCCCTGATGATGTCAGGTCTCAGCAGGGGGCGTCCCCGGTCATAGTCCAGGATGGAGGAGGGGCCATAAGTGCGGGGACGGGGGAGGAAGCCCGTAGCGGGGCTTGGCTTGAAACCAAGCTTCTCCTTCTCCAGAAAGGAGGCGGCCAGGTTGGCCCCATAGGAGGAGGGGGTATAGGTGCCATAGCCCGATTTGGCATAAGGGACATCTGTGTAGCGGGCCGATTCTGTGTAGCGCTTCAGGGTGGAGGAGAGCTGGGACATCCTTCAGGGCGGCACTCAGTGGGGTCTGGGAGCCTCATGGGCTGAAAGACAAGGAAAGCAGTTGTCAAAGGGCCCTGTCATGTGCTGGCCCTCCGTTGTGCCTACCATCCATCCCAGATAGACCAGGACGTTAGGGCTTAACTGGGCCATCCAGTCGACAAGAGGCTACCTGGCTGCCAAGAAACACACACACACATTCAGGTGTGCCCTTGTAGTCACACCAACATCCATGCATTCACAAAAGAAATCAGCATCTGCTATCTTGTCCTCACCTCTGCAACCTTCTAAGCCACAACCCTTCTCCAGCCAAATCCTATCTGGTTCCTGTGCTCAGATTCTGAAGAAACTTCTGAGCTGGGAATGCTAGGTTCCCGGGGTCTAGCCTGTAGCCCGCTGAGATCTAATAGCTATGTGAGGTCTGGAAGCTGGAGAAATCCCACTCCCACCCCCTGACTGAGAACTCTGGACTTTTTTCAAGAGTCATCATGGATTCCTGCCCTCTGACTTAAGTAACGAGCAGGAGCTCTTTGGCATTGTAGACTGTCTGCTGTGATGACCTGAAGATCATGGGAAGAGATCTCTCACGAGGAAAAAAGGCTCCTGAGAAGAAGTGATGGGGATCAGTGGGCAGGGGAGGTGGTGAGGGAGCATTCAGCAGAGGGACTGGACATCAGTCTCCACACTGCACCCCAGAGTGCTTCCCTGAGAATGGAAACCTGCTGCTTGGTCCTGCAGTGGGGATACTGCTATGGCCAAACCCACCTTCTTTACTGAGCTTAGCCTTCTGCGGAGTTAGGGCCTCAGGGCTTCCCAGGGATTCTCCTCCCAACAAGGATGCTAAATTGCTCCTGTTAAAACTTGATTTGGTCAAAGGGGCCCCCTAGAGGCCAAAATCCTGCACTTCAGGTGACACCACTCCTCCCTGGCCAGTGGGTCTGATGAAGGAACACAGAATGTGGAGCTTGGAGGTCCCTAAATGATCATGCATTTTAACTTCTCTGTTGGACAGATAGGAAAAATGATGTGGTTTGATCAAGGCCACACTCTGGCAAAGTCAGGATTGGAATCCATGTCTTTTAGTATGTGGCCCAGCACTCTTTCCATTTTTCTCCCCCTTCAAAGTTAGGCTCAGCTGGGGATACCTATAGTGCCACCATCACCCCAGCATAGCAGGCTTCATCTCCACTTTAGCAGGAGTGGCAGGAATGCTTTAGAGAGAGGAGCAAGTAGGCTCAGGCCCCTTTCCTCAAGGGTCCTCAGGGGCTCTTGGGGAGCTCCCTTGGTGTGGGGATGAAGACCTTTCTAAGACTCTCAAGATATCGTGTGTGCAGGGGCCAGCTTTGATTCCCTGTGAGAGACTAGCTGGGCAGTTTTTTACTACTTTTTTAACCTCTTTGAGCCCAATTTCTTCACCTGTAAATGAGTATAATGATTATCATCATGATTCCTATCTCACAGGAATAAATGAGATAATAACACGTGAAAGCCCCTAACAATGACTAGTTATTATCTCCTCTCCCAGCCCCTGCCAGGCAGCCTGGCTCTTCCCTATAATAATAATGTCAGGACTGGCCATCTCCCAGCCTGGCCAGCTCCTGACCTCAGCCTAGGCACCAGGCTTCCTCCTGCAGCCCTCAGAGAGATTAGTGGACAGTGGGCAGACACCTAGTTGTTTAACAGACACTGGCTCAGGCAGCCCACAGCCTGCGTGCGTTAGACCAGCAACCCAGCTCATTAGAGCAGAGAGGACCTGGTGCCAAGCCCTAAATGCTTAAGGCTTGGCAGAAATCTCTAGAAACCCAATCCATGCAAGACTTGGGATAGATGTAGGGGTGGGAGATGAGCAAGTGGTGACTTCCATGTAGGACCCAGAACATCACTCTGTGACTCTGCTAGAGGTTTCCAGCAGTTTTAATTCCAGGCTGGCCTCGGGAAGGCCCATCCACCTTACTCTCTGCCCTTACTTGCTTGGCCCACGAAACCCCTGCTACCTTTCATGTACTCTCCCTTGTCCCCTGGCTCCCACCTCCAGCACAACTTTCACTCCTATCTAGGAAAAAGTAACTGGGGGACCATCTCATCCAGGGAAATGATGGGAGAGAGAGAGGCTCAGGAGTGAGGGCAGAGGACCAGACCTGCTCTGTTTCACTTTGGAGAACTCCATCAATAATGCAAAGTCAAAGAGACTCCAGGTCTCTGGAGCTGGGCTCTGGACACCCTGCCACCAATCAGGTATTCCCTCACCTCCAGGGCATGAGCTCATGGCTAGTCTTTAACAGCTCACCCTCCCCTCCCCAACACTCCCGGGGGAATTGGTATTCTGCGGCAGTGCCTTAAGCCCATGACCTCTCCAGCCCTGCTGATGACGCAGAAGTACTGGGCCAAACAAGGTACAGCAGATAGGAACAGGCAGCCCTGGAGGGGGGGGGGGGATATGGAGGTGGAGCCATACCTTCTGTCCCAAAGAATCCCAGGAGGGATCCCAGATCCTGGCTCTCCCGTCTTCTCTAATCTGGCAGGCAACTGCCAGGCCTCCGCCCTCCCCCAGCAACCTGGGAGACATGCCATCACTAACACCCCCTAGAAGCTGCCACTCAGCTCTGATATCTGTTGAACAGTTCTCATGTCTAGGGAGAGGGTCCTTACTGGGGCTTGAACACATCCCCCTACCCCCACCAAACCCAAGTCTCATTCTTCAGAAGAGTCCCAGCACTTTCCATATGATAAGACAGCTTGGGTTGACATTACCTGGCACTGCTGTCCCTGGAGGCTGCAGAATGCACCACGGGCGGGAGCTTGGGCTGGGGCCCTGGCGGTGGCCTTGCTGCGCAAGACAGGGACAGAGCGGGCACTCACATGGCTGCGAGTTTCCCTGTTGCCACAGGAACAGCCTGGACTGAATGGCCCTTTCATGGGGCAGTGGGAGGCCAGCCGATTGGCTGGGATCCCCCGTACTCCTCCCTACCCAGTGTGGGGCCCCTGCTGCCCAGCTCCTTTCACTGTTTACCCAGAGCTGGCAAGTATAGGCATGTGGCTTCAGGCAGCACCTCCCCAGGTGCCCGCCACCTTGGACAACAGGGGCAGTCCCCTACCCACGCTCCTCCTTCATGCCATCTTTTCCAAGTTTCCCAGCTCTTCCTTTCTCTGAGATTCCCCATCACTTTGATCAGTTTACCCCTCTTTAGAGGTGCACTAGCATTCCTCTGCACAGAGGAACTCAGCTTCCTGTAGGGGACATCTGATCCAAGCAGCTGTCACCTGGCCAGCTGGTGCTCTACACCTATGGACCAGGCACCAAGCACACTGAGGACTTCACATTGCAGTTTCTGATTTCACCTTCTCTGCAGCCCTATACCAACACGTGCGGCCCTCACCATGCGTCCCGCTGCCTTCTGAGCGTTCTTATCAGCCCCAGAAGTCTCAGTGCAGGGGTGAGCTGAACTTTTTCAAACAGAGGGCTGCCTCATACTTACAAACATTGTTGGAAAGGTCAAATTATTAAAAAATTAAGAATTTATTCACAATTCAAAAATAAATGTACAAGAAATTTAATAAGTGAAACTTTCAAATGAAGTTTTTAGCATTATATTTGTGAAGGTATTAAAGCTTAAAATGGCATTAAGACTTGGGGCACAGTGTTGACGTGGTCCTCCGGCCACGTAATAGCAAGAGGTGTTGTTATAATGCTCATTTGCTGACAAGGAAACTAGGGTCCCTGGAGTGATGTGGCCATCCCAGAGCCTTGCTGGAGCAGTCACAGAGTCGGGTTAGGACCCTGAAGCCAAGACCCCCACTTGATACTTTCTTGGGCTGAGGTAGGGCTAAGGACCTGTGAGGTGGACGTGGGGAGAGGACCACTGTAGGATCCGGGTGTCCACTCTCCAGCAACAGAATGGGGGTTACTGACTCTCACAGGAGCAGCCCTCTGGATTTTTTCCTGCAGGTGAATGAAAATGAAGCCAGGTGCAACCTGAGCCCCAGAATAATACTGATTGGCCATGAGATGGTCTAGGAGGCTTCCATTTCACTCATGGTGCCAAACTCCTATGTGTCCCCTGGTACCAGCATCTACCCCAGCTCAAGGTCCTTGGCCCCCTGGCTGTTTGAACATGTCCCCCAGTCTCCTAATCTGACTGCCGTTCAGCCCACTCCCCAAGGCATCTATGCTAGGTGAATAAGGGGTTAATGAGCCCTGTCCCCTTGGGGCAGCCATCTCCTTGCGTCAGCCACTGTCATTTCCTGTAGCTCACGTGAAGGGCTCCCTAACCTGCCCAGCCAGGGGAGGGACTTGCTCCCCAAGAATCCCAGGCACTCCTGGCCCTGGGGGCAGGAGATGGGTGATGCCCCACATCCCAGCAATCTTCGCTTGCCAAGATCTGCTTGGCTCTCTGGAGTGAAGATATGCTGGCTTCCTGGCCACAGAGCCCCAAGTAGCTTCAGGGTCACACCTAAACAGGGTTAAGTCTCTTCCTTCCTACCCAGGTGATCAGAGCAGGTGAATGAGGAGTTCTAGTTAGTCTTGCTGGGTGCTCGGGAGCGTCCGTGGTAGTGATGACCTCAGAGCTTCCAAAAGCTGCTTGCTAACCGCATCAGAATGTGCTGACCCTGAAGGCTAAGGGGGGTGAGACGGGGGCCCTGTTTCCCTCCACCTACACTCTCTGATTCTTAGTCTGGCTGCTTTGGTCCCCTGCTCCCCTGTCTGGATACAAGCATCCAATTCTGGAAGGTGGGGAAGACACAGGTTGAGGATGGGGGTGGGGCATAGTTATGTGCCCATTCTGTCTACTCCTAGGCCCCAGGAGCCTCAACCTATACCCCTCCTCTAACCTGTCACTAGCAGCTCTCCCTATCAGGAGCTAGCACTGAGGGACCCACTAGCTTATCTGCCATAGCAAGGGGTCATCCAAGGGAATTTGGATTCATCTCTATCTTTCTGGCTGCTGGTAATAGTCCAGGGGGTGGCAGTGGGAGGGGAGATAAAGAGATTGGAGATTAAGGCAAGCATCCTGACTGGTGGAGAATAAGTGGGTGGGCCCAGGGCAGCATCTCTATAGGGTGCTTCTTGACTTGGGTTTGGGCATCTACAGGTACAAGAAAAGGCAAAGAAATGGGCTCCAGGCAGTATTGTTGTCCTTACATTCTCTTTTGCACCTACTTCTGCCCAGGCACTCTCCAGGTGCCCCTTCCCCAGGGAAGAGTTCTGTCCTCCTCTCTCTCCTCTAGGGCTTTAGCTGTCCTCTTTACTCACCTCCCGAGGAGCTTTTGGTCTTGCCAACTGCACCCACCAGGCCCAACGGTGGCCTCTCATGAGCTCCCCCAAACTCATTCATGTCTGTCATCTGGACAGCTGCCCGGGCAAAGCTCAGACACCAAAGGGGCTGCTACTGACCTGTGTCCAGGGGCACTGGATGGGACCTGGGGGCTTCCTCCCCGGGAGGGCAGAGAACGCAGTGGAGAGCCCAGAAGCTGGAGTCTGACTCTGGGCTGGGTAATCCGGAGCTCAGGTTACGCTGGATATATATAGTATCTTATCTGACCTCCCAGAGAAGGCAACTTGCATTCCAAGCCCCGGGAGAATTAAAGGGGCAGTGGCATGCCCACTCTTCATGGGCCACTTGGTTTGACTGGTGCCGGCCAAGGAGTCCTGCTAAGGACTAAGACTCTCGGGAGGAGGCATTTTGAAGTGTAACAGTGGGGGAATTCAAGGGGAAACTGGATGGTAGAGGACTGGGGTGGAAATTGAGACAAAAATAGGAAGAGGCTGGATTCTGTGGAGCTGTCAGTCATAGAATTAGAGAACAGGAAGAAGCCTTACTGCTAGTTATAGCTCCTGGAATTTTGAGATGGAGTAGACCTAGCTCAAGGGCACACAGACAGCTAGAGGCAGACAAGACCTTTACTCAGGTTTCAGTTCACTACTTTTTTACGATAGACTTCTAAGTCTAGGCCTAAATTCCAGTTCTTCTCCCTATTGGATCTGAGTCAGTGAGCAAGTCACTTAAGCTTTCTGAATCTCATTTAGTCTGTAAAGCATGATTAATAAAATATAATAATAACAATAATAATAGTATACCTCAAAGTTGTGAGGATGAAATAAAATAATATTTGTAAATTTCCTGGCATATAGTAAGAATTCAGAAAATGATGATTGTAGTGAATACTTCCACTTCTTGTTTTAGTGAACAGCAGTATTAGTAGTAGCAGTTGGTGATCCTTCCTAGAAGAGGACCCTAACCTAGAAGAAAAAGGCCTCAGGCCACCCCTCAGGGAGTGCTCTGTTTTAATGCCAGAGAATAGCCCTGTGGTTTTCTGAACTGGCCCACATCCCAAAAGTGGGAAGGGCAAATGCCAGTTGTCATATTCCCAGATGTCCAGTCCATCAAAGTGAGACAGGACAAGCCCATTTGGGTTCCCTCCCCATTTATCTGGAAAAATATAGCAAGTGTAGCTTCCCCCAGACTGCCAGGAGACTCTCTGGCCCCTCTGGAGTGGTTCCACTCTACCTGCTGGAGGGCTCGGGATTCCTGGGCCGAAGAGCTGTGCTGGGCAGGGTCACAAGGAGGAGGAGGGTTCTTGTCCTTTCTGGCCTTGGTGCACCTGTCTGCTCTCAGGATGAGTCTCCTGTTTCTCGATGGCTCTCCCTGAGGACTGGGAGGACCCGTGCTGGTGCCTCCACCCTGTCTCAGCACAGGCCACTGACTCAGCCTGGGTCCTGATGATGCACTTCAGAGGACGCCCTCATTCCAGTCCTCATTCCAGTCACCATGCATCTGTCTACAGCATCAAAAGAGCAGGGGAATGCCCCAAAACTAGATCATCAACCCTCTCCTTTCCTCTGGCTTTGCAGGTGGATTTGAGGGGTGTTCTCATGCTTGGTCCTGGGGAGATGAGCAGCCCCTACAATTTTCCAACTCAGCCCTGTTTTAAAAGCATCCAGGTTAAGAGCTAGGACTCTCCTCAGAGGAGAGCAAGGATGGGTTGGCCTGGGTGTCCCTTGGTTAAGTTGCTTGCCTGGAGCACCACATGCCCACTTCTGGTTTGGGATTTAGGAGAATTTCAAAGTTGCCTCTTTCTGATTTGGGATTGGTGGAAAATCTCTCCTTCCGTTTAACTGCTGCGCTCCCCAAAACCCCTCCCCACTTTGGCAAACTGACCAGAGACAGCCCCCAGGAGCTTTAGGAGCAGGTAGTAAGTGAGCTACAAGCACACGTGGGGAGGGGGGTCGTCAGCGTCCAGGCATCACTCTCGGGCCACATATTACACCGGGCACAGCGACCTGGACCCTCCGAAGCAGCATTTCCTTAGAACACACTGATCTGTGCACAGATGGCTCTTCCTGGCACCCTGCGCTGTCAGCTGGCAGCCCCCCTTACATAGTGGGACCCACAGCTGGAGCTCCCCCGCACAGCTGGCCCTCGCCCTACATTTCTAATGTCCATTCTGCCCAGACTATCGTTGACACCTCACTTTCTGAGCTTCAAACCGGCAGTGACCCCCACATCCCTCTTCCAGGATCTCCGACAGGTGGCACATACCTGCCTCTTCTCGGAGGATGGACGACGAGTCGAACCGGGCACAAGCATGGAGCTGCGGGTGAGTCCTGGCTGGCACTGGCGCGGCGCAGCGAGCAGCAGCTGACGCAGAGGGCTCCCTGGCCTCGGCTCCTGCCCGCCTCTCCCCCACCTCCGCCCGGGGCCCAGAAAGGACCTCCCCGGGAAATCGGCGCCACCCAGCGGGCAGCCGCCTCATCGCGCCAGGGCCGGCAAAGCCACACCCCGCGTCCCCCGTCACTGACCAACGTCAAGGCTATTGGCTTGTTCCTATTGTGACATCACTAGAGCCCCGCCTGGCTAGGGTCTCCCAGGCAACCAATATCTACAGAGAACCACGTGGAGGAAAAGCACGCCAGTTTGGAGGGCGTGGAGCACGGAAAGAAGTGGACTGGAATGTGACACGATGTGGCAGGTGGAAGGTATTGGAAAAGAAGCGGGGGTCACTGGAGAAGGTTGGAACTTGAGCCCCGGGGCATAACAACTTTCAGATCTTAGAGAAGGCTTCTTGTTCTTTGTTTCTTCCCATCCGGGCTGAGGGAGGTCCTGATCTTGATCCTCTTCTCTTTTCCTCTACTACCTACCCCCCCACCCTCGCCTTTTTTGTACCGGGGATTGAACCCACGGGCAGGCGCTTAACTACTGAGCCACATCCCCAGTCCTTTTTATATTTTAATTTATAGTCAGGGTCTCTCTAAATTGCTAAGGGCCTCCCTAAATTGCTGAGGTTGGCTTTGAACTTGTAATCCTCCTACCTCAGTCTCCCAGGTCGCTGGGATTACAGTCGTGCACCGCCACACTTGTTCTTTTCCTCTGGTAAGTTTCACTTCCAGGGGACTAGGGGTTAGTGATGGCTGCTCAGATGGGGTAAACGGAGGCACCCAGTCAGTGGAAAGAATTTTCTTTGAACTTTTAAGAAAAAGCTAAGACAAAATTTGAATTTTTGCTGCTTCCTTTCTTAGTATATAGCCTCCCACATCTCCTGCAGGCTGGTATACAAAACCACCCAACCAGCTAAGCTGGTGTCCAGGCAAATCCAGGTTTTCATCTTCACTTGGACTGTCCATCCTTCCCAGTGCCCTTAGCTCCTCCTTTCTCTAAGACTGGATGTCACCAGTCACCACAACCCTCAAGGTCTTTCTCTTGTATTTCCCAAAGAAATTAGAGGCAACCAGGAGGGGAATACTTACATTTCTACCTATAAACACATTTGAATCCATCTGCTCCAGCAGTAGTGAAAGAGCTGTCTCTCTTCTGGCCCAAGAGAGTCCCTTCTGGGTCTCAAATCTTTGTTTCCTTGGGGCCCTCATTCCACTGCTTCATTTTACAGGTAGGTGAACAGGGGATACAGGAATGAACAGAACAGGCACAATCCCTGCCCTCAAGGAGCTTACATTCTAGTAGAAGAAGGAGGGCAATAACCAAAGAGTAATAGATAGAGTGCTAGGGGTTGGGATTGGGGCTCAGTGGTGGAGCGCTCGCCTGGCACGGGTGGGACCCGGGTTCGATCCTCAGCACCCCATAAAAATAAAGGCATTGTGTTGTGTCCATCTATACCTAAAAATAAATAAATAAATATATATATATATATATATATATATATATATATATATAAAAAGATAGTGTGCTAGTTGGCACTAAGGGCTTAGGAGGCCAGTCAAGCAGAGAGGGGGATATGGAGTGTGTAGAGGGTGGTCTGAGATGCCCAATGAGAAGGTGACATTTGAGTGGTCTGAAGAAAGTGAAGAATGAACCATGTACATATCTGGAGAAAGACTGCTCTAGGTAGAGGGGACAGTAAATGCAAAGGTCCTGAGGTGGGAGCTACCTGCAACTTTTGAGGAAGAACAAGATTGTTGTATGTTGGATACAGCTTGACATGACTGCAGCCGTCCTGAGTCATAACTGCTGTGATTGCCCCTGAGTAACTCTAGCTGGTTTCTCCTGTAGTTTCCCAGCAGACCATAAATAGATGAAACCATTAGGGTCACATGTGGGGCTTTATACAATAGGACTCTGGCTCCAGGGATATGCCTGACTCTTTGGTATTATCTTAAAAGAAATCTTGAGAGGCATGATGGTGCCTACCTAGAATCCTGGCTACTTGGGAGGCTGAGGCAGGAAGATTGCAAATTTGAGGCCAGCCTCTGCAACTTAGTGAGACCCTGTCTCAAAAATGAATGAATGAATGAATGAATGAATGAATAAGCTGGAGTATATAGTTCAGTGATAGAGAGCCCCTGGTTTCAATCCCCACTTCTACCAAAAAATAAAATAAAGAAAAAAGAAAAAAACTCCTGTTATTTTGTGTGTCTATATGAATATGTAACAATCTCACCATTATGTATAGTTATGATGTACCAATAAAAAGGAAAAAAAGAGAGAAACCAGGTACATTGCATCCAGTTACTTTTGTCCTGTTAAATATGACCCACTTGCTGACCCAAATAGTGAGAATCCAACTGATCTTGATGCTTCCCAGAACCAGCCTCTGTCAGTAAATCCCCCAATAAGTTGGTTCTGTGCAGTCCTGGATCTGTCTGCTCTCTTATTCAGTCTCACAGCAACTTGGGGCCAATCCTCAAACACTGGGACCTAGATGTTTGGAACAAGTAGCGATAGAGATGGAGATAGAGATAAGGGGGAGGGGGCATGGGGATGGAGTGGGGAGGAAGAGAGTGGAAGATGAGGCCAAAGAGATGAGGAATTGATGGGCTTGCCTTGGAGGACCTTAAGGTCCTTCTGATGACCTTGGCTTTTACTCTGATATGGGAGCCATTGGAAAGTTTTGAGTGGAGAAAGGACATGGGTCTGATTTTTTTTTAATATTTATTTTTTAGTTTTAGGTGAACACAATATCTTTTTAAAAAAATATTTTTTAGTTGTAGTTGGAAACAATACCTTTATTTATTTTCATGTGGTGCTGAGGATCAAACCCAGGGCCTTGTTATGTGCTAGGCAAGCGCTCTACTGCTGAGCCACAAACCCAGCCCCTGGACACAATATCTTTATTTTACATGTATGTGGTGCTGAGGATTGAACCCAGTGTTTCTTGCATGCTAGGCGAGCACTCTACCATTGAGCCATAACCCCAGTCCATGGATCTGATTTCTTTTTAAAACAGAATCTCTTTAGCTACTATATGGAAAAAATATTTGAAGAAATGCAGAATAGTAGCAAGAGTCTATTTAGGAGGTGACTGAGTTTTCTTCTGAACATTAACTGAGAAGGGGAAGGCTGTGGAAGGAGCAGGTTTTGGTGGTGAGTTGGAGAGGAGGAAGTAGATCAGATACAACATCAATTTGAGATGTCTATTAGGCATCCCAATGGAGATGTCAAGAAAGCAGGTAGAGCCTGTTATGGTGGCGCACACCTGCAATCCCAGCTACCTGGAGGCTGAGGCAGGAGGATCATCCATTCTAGGCCAGCATCTGCAATTTAATGAGACCCTGTCTCAAAATATGAAAGTGGGCTAGGGATGTAGCTCAGTGGTAGAGTGCCCCTGGGATCAATTAAAAAAAAAAAAAAAGCAACTAAGCATTTGGATGTGCAAGTTTGGTGTGGTCTAGATTAGGGATATAAAATTGAGAATTTCCTGGCATAGTGGTGCACTCCTATAATCCCAGGGACTTGGGAGGCTGAGGCAGGAGGATCACAAATTCAAAGCCAGCCTCAGCAATTTAGCGAGGCTGTGTCTCTAAGCCAAATATAAAAGGATTGGGGACATGGCTCAGCAGTTAAGCGCCCTTGGGTTCAATACCCTGTACAAAAAAAAAAAAAAATTGAGAATCATCATTGTATGGATGTTATTTAAAACCATGTGATTAGAAGAGATTACCTTACCAAGGGAACAAGTGTAGATAGAAAAACATGCAAAACATGCAAGGACTGAGTTCTTGGTCTCTCCAATATCAAGTAGTTTCAGAGATGAGTTGGAACCATCAGAGAGACAAGGAACAGTAAGTGTAGTGGGGAAAAAAATTCCAGGAGATGGCAGTCTGCTGGCGGCCAACAGAAGGAAACTTATTGGGAGAAGGGAAAGATCAAATGCTGCCTATAGATTAAGTGATATGAGTTTGAGAATTGATTTAGAAGGTTGTTGGCGACCTCAAGAATACTTTGGATAGAGTGGTGGGGTGAAAATTTGAGTGTGGATGAGTTCAAGAAAGATTGGGAGGAGAGGAGGAAACAGCAGAGACAACTCTTTGGAGGAGTTTTGTTGTAAGAAAGGAAAGAAATTGTGTGAGAGCTAAAAGGAGAAGTAAGGTCAAGAGGAATTTTAAGTGGGCATAAAACTATGTGTTGTTTGTTGACGGTGAAGAGCACGGGCAGAAATGGAGCTGGGCATGGTGATGCATGCTGTAATCCCAGCGGCTTGGGAGGCTGAGGTAGGAGGATCACAGGTTTGAGGTCAACCTCAGCAACTTAGTGAGGCTGTGAGCAAACTAGTGAGATTGCTCAAAATAAAAAATATAAAGGGCTGAAGATGTGGTTAAGCACCCTTGGGTTCAATCTCTGATATCAAACAAACAAACAAACAAACAAAAAAAACAACAAAGAGACAAAGCTGATGCTGCTGGAGAGTGTGAGGACGATGTCCAGAGTGGTGTTCCTGGATTAGGTGAGGAGGGCTGGGATTGGGTATGGAGAAGGACAGGCTGCTTTGGTTAGGGGCATACATGGTTCATTCAAGTGAAAAGAGAACACATAGTATTTGAGGACAGGTGCAGGGAGATGGATGGACATAGTGGAAGCTTGTGGGGATTCTCTGTGGATGGCCTCTGCTCTCCTAGTGAATCAGGAAGCCAGGTCAGTGGAGTGAGGGTGGAGGAAAGGCTGGGAGGTCGCATGTGAGGAGTCATAAAATAGTCATCTAGGTGCACCAGAATCACCTGAGGGCCTGTGAAAGCCTTCCCACCTGCAGGTGTTCTATTCAGGAGGTCCGCGGTGGGCCTTAGATTTTGCTTTTTTTTTTTTTTCCAGCACCAGGGATTGAATCCAGGGGCACTTAACTACTGAGCCACATCTCCAGCCCTTTTTTTGTATTTTATTTAGAGACAGGGTCTTGCTAAGTTGCTGATGCTGACTTTGAACTTGCAACCCTCCTGCTCAGCCTCCCGACATTGGGATTACAGGTATGTCTCGCTGTGCCCCACAGTTTTATATTTCTAATAAGTCTTCAGTCACAGCTGCAGCTGCTGGTCTGGGAATGACTCTGAGGATTACTGAGCTGGAGAAGGACAGTGAATGGACTGCAGGATGCAGCATGGTCACCAGGCAGCATCAAGGGCCCGTTTGAGGTTAGGAATCATGACTCCAAAGCGTCTCTGATCAGCATTCTTTTTCATCTCATCCACAATTACTTGTGCAGGCAAGTCAATTGACTTGCCCTGGGGCATATAACAGGCTCCACATTTCTTCCTCTTTAAAAAAACAACAATTTTGTAGGGCGCAGTGGCATATGCCTATAATCCAGTGGATTGGGAAGCTGAAACAGGAGGATCTCAAGTGCAAGGCCTGCCTTGGTGACTTAGCAAGCCCCTAAACAACTTAGTGAGACCTTGTCTCATAAAAGAAAAAGGGCTGGGGATGTAGCTCAGTAGTAAAGTGCTTATAACAATGTCCAACAATTTCTGGCACATGAGGAGTGCCCAAGATCACTGCCATCCACCAGCTTCTACCTGCCCGGGGCTGATGATGCTTAATCTGCATTTTCGGTAGACCTCATACCTGAGCACCAGTCATGATTACCCATCTGCGTCTTGACATACCCTTGAAGGTTCCATCAGATCCCAACCTTAACAGGAGCCCAAACCTTAAACTCATCATTTTCTATTCAGTTTCTTCCCTTTCTTTTTCCCCATGTCCTTTCAAGGTGCCATATCATCTATCCCATTCTCCAGCCAGAAATTTGGTGGTTTCTAGGGTTCTAGTTTTTCTCACTTCACTAATTTATTTCCTTCCTTCCTTCCTTCCTTCCTTCCTTCCATCCTTCCTTCCTTCTTCCCTCTGCCCCTTGTACTAGGGATTGAACTCAGGGTGCTTAACCACTGTGCTACATCCCCAACACTTTTTTAAAAATTTGAGAAAGGGTCTTACTTAGTTGCTTAGAGCCTTGCTAAGTTGCTGAGGCTGTTTCGAACTTGTGATCCTCCTGCCTCAGCCTCTCCAGTTGCTGGGATTACAGGGGTGCACCACCAAGCCAAGCTCATTCACTAATTCTTATAAAAATATTATCATAACTCAGATATGCATAAAACATTACACCTGTTTTCTGTGATATATCTACATCTCTATTTTGAGTCAGTCCCTATTCTACTGGAGTGGTGGACACTTAATTTTAGTCAGCTGGAGGAATCTTGCCTCCTCTTTCCAGGATTTGCCCAACTTCTAGAAGGATGGTTCATATGTATTTTTTTTTTCCCCCAAAGCACAAGAGGAAGAAGATCCTGTTACTAGAATGGCCACCTTGTGTCCACTGAGACACCTTGTGTCTATTGCCTGATTCCTGCTCATGTGGCTTCTGTAGGTCTCGTGTCACTATGTCACTCCTGGACACATGGACATCATCCTGCTGCTACTTTTTCCTGGAGTGGAATGAGAAGGTGTGATGCTTTCTGTGGCTCTAGCTGCCTTCAAAATGGTTGCCCTCTGCAGTTTTTCTCTTTCTGGGCCTTGTCTCCTTTCTGGCTCTAGCCAGGACTTGGCTTGGGGCTCTGTCAGACCTCTAACACCTATGTGGGGGTCTGCTGCCTCTTCATGCTCAGGAGTCCAAGGACAGAGCCACTGACCTCCATGTCTGTCACTGCTTTCCCAAGGCTGGCTCCTGTCTGTGGTGCTAACACCAATGTGAGGTTTTGGCTTGTCCAAGGTTATGTTCTCCATGTTTTTGTCCAGGTGGGAATCCTGCCTGTTTTCTGAAGACCCTGAAAGGCCTAGGCAATTGGAATTTAAAAGCCAGAAGAGTTTCCCATTTCCCACTTGTTTCTTTCTTTCTTTCTTTCTTTCTTTCTTTCTTTCTTTCTTTCTTTCTTTCTTTCTTTCTTTCTTTCTTTCTTTCTTTCTTCTTCTTCTTCCTTCTTCCTTCTTCCTCTTCCTCCTCCTCTTCCTCCTCCTCCTCTTCCTCCTCCTCTTCCTCCTCCTCTTCCTCCTCTTCCTCCTCCTCTTCCTCCTCCTCCTCTTCCTCCTCCTCCTCTTCCTCCTCCTCTTCTTCTTCCTCTTCCTCTTCTTCCTCCTCTTCTTCCTCTTCCTCCTCTTCTTCCTCTTCCTCCTCTTCTTCCTCTTCCTCTTCTTCCTCCTCTTCTTCCTCTTCCTCTTCTTCCTCCTCTTCTTCCTCTTCCTCTTCTTCCTCCTCTTCTTCCTCCTCTTCTTCCTCTTCCTCTTCTTCCTCCTCTTCTTCCTCTTCTTCTTCTTCCTCCTCTTCTTCCTCTTCCTCTTCTTCCTCCTCCTCCTCTTCCTCTTCTTCCTCCTCCTCTTCCTCTTCCTCTTCCTCTTCCTCCTCCTCCTCCTCCTCTTCCTCTTCTTCCTCCTCCTCCTCCTCCTCCTCCTCCTCCTCTTCTGGTTTACCACTGAGCTACATCCCCAGCCCTTTTAATTTTTTTTTTTTTTTGAGATAGGGACTTGCAGAGTTGCTGAGGCTGACCTTGAACTTGAGATCCTCCTGCCTCAGCCTCCCAAGTTGCTGAAATTACAGATGAGCCCCAGCACACCCAGCTCCTCTCCTTCTTTTAAGCCCCTTGCTCTCTGAAGCTCCTGGCATCTGGTCATGCTACAACCAGCCTTACTTGTGGCTGTCAACTGTGGGCACTTGGTATCTTTCCACCCTTCTCCCTCATCATTCTCAGTGATTTTAGTCTCCCTTTCAGCCTGTGAGGCCCCTGATCCCCCCCTTTCTCACTATGTGTCATCTGCTTGCCCAAGAACAATTTCACATTCTTACCCAGTCTGGACTCTAAAAGGTCTCCTCGCCTCCTTCAGTATTGGGGATTGAATCCAGGGATACTATACCCTAGCTAGCCCTTTTTATTTAATTTTAAAATTTTGAGACAGGGTCTACATTCATGATGACGAATCTCAGATGGACATAGAGCTGCCCAGTGTTTCTATCATGTCTGGCTGCTATGATTATTTTCCCACTGAATTTAGCTTTCTATTGCCACATATCACATACTCAGAAATGTAGTGGCTTAAAAAAACAATACTTGTTGCCTCACAGTCTGTAGGTCAGAAATCCTGGTGGGCTCAGCTGGTTCTCTGGGTAGGCGCTCACAAGGCCAAAATCAAGGTGCCAGCTGGGCTGGATCCTGTCTGGAGGTTTGTTCAGGTAGTTGGCAGGACCTAGTTCCTCAGAGCTGCAGGGGTGAAGGCCCTGTTTCCTCACTAGCTGCCAGCTGGGTCTGTCGTCTGCTCCTAGTGGCTAGGAGTATTCTTTCTGTGGCCATCTGTGGCACATTGAATCACCTTTGTGCTTTGATCTTTCCTAGACCACTGGCCAGAGAAAGGGCTCTGATTTTAAGGGCTCATGTGATTGGATGAGGCCTACCCGGATAATCCCCGCCTTTTAAGATTAAGTATGCCATACACACTAGAAAGCACGGGGATCAGATGAGATCTGATCCCCAGACTCCAGGGGTTAGGGATATGTGATCATGGAAGGCTATTTTTAGAATTCTGCTACCACTATGACTTTCTGATATATGATGAGTTTCTATTATTTCCTTAAAATTTTGGGAGCATTGAACCTTGAGAGGTTAAGGTCATTTAACCAGGATTTGAAGCTAGATCTCTCTGACTCCTGGAAATAAGCATTTGCCCGTGCTGCTTGGAGTATTACTTCCTTTTTTCAAAATGCCCCCACACCCCTCCATCTCTTTAGTGTCTATGGTTCAGCTGATGACCTTTTCATGTGCTTCCTTGAGAAAATAGTGGCTTCTCATATGCAAAGCCCTGTCCTTTGCTGTTTTCTGTTGCTATGACTTAATTCTCCAAATTAGGAAATAAAAAAAAATTGATTTGATTCTGGGTTCTGGAGGCTGGGAGATCCAAGTGTATAGGGCCGGCATCTGCTTGTCATCTGGGAAGGGCCTTCTGGCTGCATCATGACATGTCAGAGGCCCTCTTACGGTGAGAGAGCAAGTGTGGCTTCTTATAAAGCCACCAATGCCATCATGGGGTCCCACTCTCATGACCTTATCTACTCCTTACTACCTTCAGAGCCCCCACTTTCAATTACCACTAACATATTTGGGGATTAAGTTTACAAAATGAACTTTTGGGGGGACACATTTAAACCATAGTAAGCCCCAAAACTTTGAGTCACAAACCTCCTCCTTCTACACCGATTTTGTCTTTTTTTTTCCCTGACTCTAGATCCCTCCTCTCTTGCTTTCCCAATGACTCCCATTTTTCATGTTCTTCTCTTTCTCCTTCCTTAGCCTTTCCCTGTCTCCACAACCTCAGCAGCAACACACAGCCATGCTCTAGTACTGCCTGTCTTAGAAACAAATGAAGATGGGTGCAGAGGTGCACTCCTATAATCCCAACCACTCAGGAGGCTGAGACAGAAGGATCACAAGTTAGAGGCCAACCTGGACAACTTAGTGAGGCCCTGTCTCAAAATTTAAAAGAAAAGAAAAAAAAAAAAAAAACAAAGCAAATGCTCCTGGACTCTACCTCCCACATCAGCCACAGCCACACTTCCTGAATAAAAGTCTACATTAGCCATTCAGTCTCATGCACCCACTCCAATCTGGCTTCTGTTACCACCACTCCGTTGAACTGTTCTGCCAGTTATCATCCCTGCATAAATTTAGTGTCTTTAAAAAACAATTTATTGTTGTGTCTTATTCTTCTGTGGTTGGCTGGGCTCAGCTGGGAAATTCTCACTTGGGTCTCTTCTTGTGAGATTGCAATCAGTGACTGGAACTGGAGTCATCTGAAGGCTCAGCCTTGCTGGAAGTCCAAGACAGTTCACACATGGCTGGCAGTTGACCCTGGCTGTTGGCTGGGAGCTTAGCCAGTGCTGGTGACTGGAGGGCCTCCATGCGTACTCTGCATAACTTGCACGTCTCAGAATGGCAGCTGGGTTCTAAGAGGGAGTGTCTCAGGGCTTTCTGGGGGAACCCGCTGGAAGCAAGTCTTCTCAAGAGTGAGTGTTGGCATCTGGTGCGGCCCTTCTTGCAGCATCATGACACGACAGAGGCCCATACATGGTGAGAGAGCATGCCATCCTGGGGTCCCACCCTCATGACCCCATCTCATCCTAATCATCTAGTCATGCAGCTTCACTTCCCCACAAACTCTTGGGCATAAGCAAGACACAGTCCACATGAGACTCAGTGGGAAGGGATTACACAAGAGTGCAGTTGATTTAGGGGGCCATCTTTCACAGATTGCTACTACAGTCACCAAAAAGTTGGTCCTCATCTTCCTGAGTTCTTAACAGTAGTTGACTTGGTTGAACATTTTTTCCCCCAAAATCTCTCCCTTCTCCGGCTCCGTAGGCCCCTGGCTTTTCTCTTTCCTCACTGATGCTCTTCCATCTCCTTTCCTTCTCTTGCTGAAACCTAAAACTTCGACAACTTCAAATTCTAGGCCTAGAATTCTAGAATCATTTGCAGAATTATTTTTCTGAAGTGTTTCCCTGCACCCTCTTCTTTGTCCTGTAGTCAATGCTGACTGTACAAATGCTCTCTTCTGCTAGATATTACCTTTAACTTTGACCTCTAATCTGTGCTCAGGACTGGGATATAGTCTGTCTTCTTTTTTGGGGAGTAGAAGTCATTTTTTTTAATACTATTTAGTATTAAATAAATAATTTATATGGCCACATATAAATTATTAACCATACATAGTAATTGGCAAACAAGTATATCTTGTGTGTATATGTTCTTTTTTTTCATTTCCAGTATCTTTCATTTCCTGCCCTCTTTCCTCCCCCATCTACTTGCTCTACTCCACCATCACTCTTCTGTTATTATTTTTCAAATTAATGTATCCAGCTGTCTTCTTGTTTGGGGGCATGGGTACTGGGATTGAATCCAAGGGTGTGCTACCACTGAGTTATATCCATGACCGGTTTTTAAAAGACAGGGTCTTGCTAAGTTGTTGAGGCTGGCCTTGAACTTGCAATCCTCTGCCTCAGTCTCCTGAGTAGCTGAAATTACAGGTGTGAGCCATGCACCATTAGAGCCATGTCCTCTAGGTTGCTTTTGGTTTTTTTTTGTTTTTCTTTTTGCAGTGCTAGGGATTAAACCCAGGATCTTGCACATACTGAGCAAGTGCTCTACAGTGGAGCTGCATCCCAGCCCCACTGTCTTCTTGATAGCTCCGTGTAGGTGTCTAGTGGCGATTCAGACTTAATACATCCAGCTCTCCACTTCCACACCCTCCAGCCTGTTCTCTCTCAACAGATGCATCATTACTCTCTCACATTTAAGCAAACACACAGGGGATACCAGATTCCGTTTAGATCCTAGATTCTGTCTCACTACTCTTAACCCCCTCTCCCCAACTTCCAATAAGCAAGTCCTGGTTTTTTTTTTTTTTGTGTGTGTGTGTGTGTGTGGGTATGGGGGGGAGAACTTTAATATATTTCTCCAAATATATTTGATTTTGATTGTTTAGAAAATTAATACATTTAGCTAGACTTGGTGGCACATGCCTATAACCCTAGCAATTTGGGTCACTGAGGCAGGATCACAAGTTTAAAGTCAGCCCTAGCAGCTTAGGGAGGCCCTAGGCAACTTATCAAGACCCTGTATCAAAAGTAAAAAATATAAAAGGGCTGGGGTTAAGCACCCCTGATCTGGTACCAAATAAATAAATAAATAAAAAGTAAAAAAAAAAAAAAAAAAAGAATATAAAAGTGATCTGTGACCTTATCTTACATTCTCATTCATCAAAACATACTCCCAGTTAATTAGCTATTTCTTTTGCTATTTATTTCTCTACTTAAAATTTTCATAGGTATGTTTTTTCTTAATTGTCTAGTGTTAAGTATTATATATTGACTTTCAACTATGGAAAATGTGGGGTTTAATGGTGTTTAACACTTTAATATGCCCATTTCTTCCACAACCAAATATATTCACTTATCATTTTCCATTGCTTCCCAAATAGTTTTATCACAATTTTTAGTAAAGTCATTACCTAATGCTGTGTTAGTCCATTTAGGCTGCTATTACAAAGTACCATGAACAGGGTAGTTTATCAACAACAGAAGTTTGTTTCTCATGGTCTGGGAAGTCGAAGATTGAGGGCCCACATTTGGTGAGGGCCTTCTCTTTTTTTTTAATTTATTTTTTAGTTTTTGGTGGACACTCCAGCCCAGTGAGAGCCTTCTTGTGCTGTATCATGACATGGCAGAAGGCATCACATGGTGAGGGAGAGAGGGAGGTATGCCTGTTGAGAGCAAGAGAGCAAAAGAACCCTCCCATCCCTTCTACAATTGGCATGAATCCACACAAGAGGATGGAGCCCTCAGGACCTGAACACCTCGCATTAGGCCCCACCCCCAATACTGTTGCATTGGGGATTAAGTTTCCAACACATGCTTTTTCGGGGTACATTCAAACACTGAAACTTCTCAAGAGTACCCTCTTCAAATCCTGTCACCTTGGGGGTTAAGGATTTTAACCTAGAAATTTTGGAGGGATACAAACATTCAGGCTCTAGCAAGCATTTATATTAATACAATTATATAAATATTATTTGCAGATAAACCATGTAATGGGCTATGGTTATCATTTTTCCCTATGGAGTGAATATTTGCCATTGTGGGGGGATTTTGTTAAGAATTATATTTTAAAAATTTTAAAATAATTACAGATTTATAAGGAATTACAAAAATAGTGCAGGAGGTCCTGTTTGTACCCTTGAACAGTTTCAAGACCTCCTGTATTCCTTACCCATTTCTCTAGTGGTAACATCTTGATCAGCTGCCGTGCACTAGCTAAGGTGGGAACTGATGCTGGTATAATACTTGGACCTTACTCAGATTTCACCAGTCCTCTGTTTTAGCTCTGTGTCTCTCAAAGCTACCACTTCCCTTTGTTTTTACCACTACAACATTGTTCTGAGCTGCCACATCTCTGTTAGGACTACTGCAACATCCTCCTGACTTCTTGCTATTCTCCAGTCTGTTTCCACATAGCAGCAAGAAGCAGCTTCTAATCACAAGAGTAGATCAAGTCCTTTAACACTTTCCTGTTGCTCTTAGAATACAATTCTAACTCTTCATTATGACCTCCAAGACCCTGTGGGATCTGGCTATTTTACCTCCTTATTTTATTCTTTCTTTCTCTACCTTATTTATTTCCTTCCTTCCTTCTTTCCTTCCTTCCTTCCTTCCTTCTCTCTCTCTCTCTTTCTCTTTCTCTCTCTTTCTTTCTTTCCTTTTTTGCAGTACTGAGGATTGAAACCAGAACTCTGCAGATGCAAGGCAAACATTCTACCACAGAGCTACATCCCCAGCCCATTCATTTATTTATTTAAAGAATTTTTTAGTTGTAGATGGACACAATAGCTTTATTTTATTTATTCATTTTTTATGTGGTGCTGAGGATTGAACCCAGCGCCTCACATGTACAAGGCAAGCGCTCTGCCACTGAGCCACAACCCCAGTCCCATTTATATATTTTTGAGACAGGATCTTGCTGTGTTGCCCAGGCTGACCTTGCACTTGTGATCCTCACGTCCCAGCCTTCTGAGTGGCTGGGACACAGGTATGTGCTTCTGTACCCAGCAGTGTCTCCCTCTTTAATGACATCTCAGACCCCTCCTTGTCTTCAGGCCTTGAGTGACCCTGACTGTTCCCTCCACCTTGTGCCTCCAGCAGTCCTCAGTGGCTGGCTTTTTGTTCTTTTTCAGGCCTCAGCTCAGAGGCCAGCCCCTCAGGCTCTCTCTGATTAACCTAACTAAAGTGTCATCTGTTTTTCAACATCAAATCTGTAGGTAAGTCCTATTGGTTCTATTTCAAAATATATTCAAAATAGGATTGCATCATGCCTTGTCAGCTACCGAGGCCAGCTCTAGTCTAAGCTCTCATCATTTCTGGCCTGGACTGCTGCAGCAAGTTAGCTGATGTCCTTTCTTACACTCCTACAGCACTTTCTTCACAAGCCAAAGTAGTCTTTAAAAATGCAAATGGAGTGGGGAGGGCCTGGGGTTGTGGCTCAGCAGTAGAGCATAGCCTAGATTGTTCCTTTAGCCTGGAGGAGGCCCTGGGTTTGATCCTTACTCAGCACCACATAAAAATAAATAGATTAATTAAAGATTTTAAAAAAGATGCAAATTAAAAAAAGCATAAATCTGTAATTAATGGATGTATTTATTGGTTTTCTTGCTTAATGTCCATTTCCCATGTAAGGGTAAAAGAAATTGAAGTTAAAGCGTAAAAGTTTAAGGGTAAAAGACCGGGTGTTGTAAAAGTTTCTAAGCTGCAAGGTCTGAGTTAAAATGTAAAGGAGGTATTGTTAGGTTTCTATGTTACCTGCAAAACCTGAAATTTCGGTAGCTGTTAAGACAATGCTTAGAACCGCCCAGTAAACATTTCCCCTGATTGTCTGGTTGTTTAATAACTGAAGGGGTCTGTGTGGTTGCACGCAGGCCTTGCAGGGCCTGAACCAATCAGTTTGAATGTGTACTCTCCTTAGGAATGACCTATCACTCCAGCCTGACCTGTTCCCGCCAATGAATGAACCAATCATGTTTAGGAGTTGTTATTCAATTTTCCCGCGCCTCATGATGATTTGTTCTGATGTATACAAAGCCCTCCGCCCTCCCCAAAAAGTGTACTTAAGCAGTGCTCAGCCCCTGCTCGGGGCTCTGGGCTGCTTTCCCTTCTTGAGTGGGCACAGAGCCCCAGCATGCTGGTTCAATAAATCCCCCTTCTGCCAATTGCATGAGTGGTCACTTGGTGGTCTCTTTCTCCGACGTTTCGCGGGACCCTTACACCCAGTCTAGAGTATAAGATTCCCTTACTTTTCTTTTTTTTTAGGTGCTGGGAGTAGAACCAGGGCCTTGTGCATGCTAGGCAAGTACTTTACCACTGAACCCATTTCCAGCTCTTTTAAAGACTTTTTTTTTTTTTTTGAGGCAGGGTCTCACTACGTTTCCCAAGCTGGTCTTGAACTTGAGAATCTTCTGCCTCAGACCCCTGAGTTGCTAGAGTTACAGGGGTGCAGGATGACACTGGGAAAATAAGTTCTATTGGGTGTGTTATCAGCTTTTCATCACTGTGACAAAATAAGATAACCAAATAAGATAAACAGCCTACAAAGGGGAAAGATTTATTTTGGCTCATTTTGGTTTCAGAGGTTTCAGTCTATGGTTCCACTAGCGCCCAGAGTTCCACTGTCCTCTTCAAGGTAGGGTTCTGTCTATTTTGTATAGTTTTTAATTGTGTAAAATATATTTAACAAAAATTTTGCCATCTCAACTCTCTTTAAAAATAAAGTATAGCAGTGTTAAATACATTCACATTGTTGTATTACATCACCACAGTTCATCCACAGAACCCTATAACTCCCCATTTCTGTTCCGTCTCAACCCCTGGCAACTTTCATTCTGCATTTTGTCTCCAGGAATATGACTTCAGGCTTCCTTTTTTCAATCAAAACTTGCCATCTTACCCACTTTTTTTCCTAAATTTATTAATTAATTTATTTTGTAGTAGAACATCTTACCTACTTTTAAGTGTATAGTTCAGGTAGCTATTTTTTTTTTTCCAGTACCAGAGGTTGAACCCAGGGCCTCATGCATGCTAGCCACTACTGAACTATACACCCAGTTATGTGTTCAGTTCAGTGGTGTTAAGCAGTGGCTTCTTTTAAAGGTGATTTTAGGTTTAGCTGTGAGTGTAGAAAAACCTCAAATAATAGCAGCCTAAATAAGAAGGTTCATTATCACTAAGGAACCAGGCTCCTGTTTATGCTTCATCATTTGTAACACATAGTTTGCCATCTCAAAGTTCAAGATGGCTACTCCAGTTATACATTCCCGCTGATATGAACATGAAATGGGGAGAAAGGCAAATTTTCTCTCTCTTAGAGCACTTCATAGAAATTACATTTATTTTGTACTTATGTCCCATTGAACAGAGCCTAGCAATATAGGTTCATTCTGCAGCAAGGAAGTTGGGAGATGTGGTCTTCATTTTGGGCCACATATTTCAGTTTTAATTTGTAGGTCCTACTGCTGAGAAAGAAGAGAAGGCATGTTGGGGATCCTTTCCTCCCCAGTGTTTGCCATTTCTTCCCTGCCTCAAGGCACTGGTCACTGCACTGAAACCAATTCTTGCTTCCTGGAGTTTGGACTCTCAGCCAGGGGATGTCTTTTTAAAAAAAAAATATTTATTTTTTAGTTTTAGGTGGACACAATATCTTTTATTTTATATTTATGTGGTTCTGAGGATCGAACCCAGTGCCTCATGCATGCTAGGCGAGTGCCCTGCCACTGAGCCACAATCCCAGCCCCCCAGGGGATGTCTTTTATCCCTGAGCATGGAAGCAGGTGCATTTCAGGTTGCATAAATAAGTGATTCCTGCCCAACCATCTTATTTTAATAATTATTGAAAGGAAGTTCTGAAGCCTAGTGACTAGGATCTTTTAGTGTCATCCAGTTCAAGTTCCATTGAATTTAGGAAACTGCTTTATGCATAACTGGTGGATGGCTTCCACCAGGCCATACCCACTGCCAGGATTCCCTGACCCCACGGCTGGGCAGGCTCTTCCTGGAGCCCCACGCAGCCTTCATGGTAGTCTGCCATTGGTCCACCTGCCCTCCATAGTCTGCATCCAACTCCACACCTCCTCCTGCTTCCAGGCCTTCTTTTTGCAAATCTATACAAGCTGTTTCTCCTTGAAGGGTGGGGGTCATTCTGGGCCTAATAGTCTCCTGAGGCCAAGAATCTGGGCAGGAAATTTGTCCTACCTTTGTTCCAAAACCCTCCTGGATGGAGCAGAAGAGAGCCAACAGCCCTCACACCTTGTCAGGAATCTGAAGTAATCCAGACTCAGTGTTCTCGTACCAATGAAAGAGGAAATGAGTTCACTCAGGATTTGCTTTTTTCACATGTGAAGACACATATGCCCTCCCCAGTATGAAAACTGCAAATTCAGGGAGAAGACAGATGTCCTGCCAAGGAAGTAAGAGAATGTGTATCATAGGTCCCCTGATGCTGTGCAGATTTCTTGGTAGGCCAGTGAAAGTCTCCCCATGTCTCCTGGAGATCCCTTTCCCTGCCCAAGTGAGTTCCTGGAAATCAGGGAGAGCCTACCCTGGCACCCTGTGCAGCTGTCGTCAGTGAATCGTCTAATCCAAACTGGGGATTCAGAGGGGCATCTGATGCTCTTGGGCAAGAATTCTAGACCATAAGGTAGGAAATAGTGTGGCTAAAGAGCCAGGTGGGAAAGAGGTGAGGAGCAGCAAAAAGGTGGGTGGGGCCATGTCTTTGGCAAATGTGTGTCTTCATGAGACATGGGGATTTTCACTGGCCAACCAAGAAATCTACACTCAGGCTGCGGTTGAGGCTCAGTGGTAGAGCACTCGCCTAGCATGTGTGAGGCACTGGGTTCAATCCTCAGCACTGCATAAAAATAAATAAAGGTCCAACAACAACTAATAAAATATAAAAAAAGAAAGAAATCTGCACAGCATCAGGGGACCTGTGACAAACATCCTCCTGCTCCCTTGGAATGATGTCCATCTTTTCCCTGAATTTGCAGTTTTCATGTCCTTTCTAAATACTGTCACCATAGATGTCCCACGGCCTCCACAGACCTGCTGGCCTGATCAGAGAGGCCTGCCTCTAAAAGCCTGTGGCCACCTGCTCATGGCCTGGTCTTTCTGGGTTGGTTTGTGTTGTGAGGTCTGAAGACCTCTTCCTTCACCTTTCCTGCCTTCCCATAGTCCATCGTCCTCTGCTGGCCTCCTTAGGCTAACCCTACCTGCTCCATGCCTCAGGGATGCTCCCCTGAGATGATTGCAGCGGGCAGTCCCATCTCTGGGGCCCCTAAGAGTGTTGTTAAGCTTCAGGGAGATAGTGTCAGGTGTGACAAAGGGCATAGAGGAGGCATCATGCAGGTGCCAGGGTCACACACTGGCCTCTCAGATGGGGCTTCACACCTGGCCTCCCAATTCTTTCCGGAAAGACGTTTGAGTTTGATCTCTCACTACCCTGAACTTGGCATCTGAACTCCATTCCCTCTTCTCACCAAGTCTTCTTTCCTAGCCCCAGGAGTGCTGAGCAAGAACCAGGGTCACAAGGGTGTCCCGTCCCCAGAGAGCTCAGGGCTGGCTGCATCAGCTGACTGCCCTGCAGTCTCGTGTTCTGTGATGGGAAGTTTCTTCTGCTTTATTTTGGACATGGTCACCAGAGGGGCCAATGCAGGGCATAGGCGTTGGCGGGAGGTAGTGGAAGAGTGGGAGCAAGTGGCATTAATTTAGATGTGAGCCTTTAAGAAAAATGCTCAGAGAGAACCATCCTATCCAGTGCTAAATATCAAATGAGTCAGCCTCCTCCCCCACATTCCCTGGCAGAGTGGGGCAGGCTGGCGTGGCTGCCTCGCTAACTCGCAGCAATGGAGCCCCAGTCCCAGGATGACCCTGATACTTGTTCGTATTTTACTCATTACTTTCAGGGGCGGGATTCAGGGGTGAGGCTTTGTTACCTTTCCAATTCAGGGGGACAGTATTTGGCTCCCACCCTTTCTTTGGCTATTATTGCCTTTTGGGTTGAAGAATTCATGCCGGTCCTGTCACCTTGATGGCATGGACATCTCCCACCAAACCTCGCCAGGGTTGCGAGGCTCGGCCCACACATTGGCAGGTGGGTCCCTTGTTGCAGCCAGGTGAGTCAGCAAAGAGGGAACTTCCATTTATCTGGGCAAATATGTCTTATTAGAGTTATTCTGAAAAGAAGCCCAGCCTGCAGAGGCATGTCCCTGAGGATGGGGTTTGCAGAGAGTGGTGGGAGGGGAGAAGACAAGGAAAGAGGAAGGGCTTGTGTCCCCCAGGGTCTCCTCAGATCTCTAGCCCACGGAGATCCCCAGCCAAGGGAAGAAGCAGCCCGGGGACTGCAAAAGCAGAGATGGACACAAGGACAGACTCCAGAGGCTTGGTTTTATTGTGCAGTTTGCTTTTTCCTCAATGAGATGCCATTAAGCTGTGGTGGCACTATACACAGTCACGGGACAGGCAGAGCTGCCGGGTGGGGAGCTGGGTGTTGGGAAAAGCCGTCTCCCAAGGAGTGTGCTACTTCAGGGTCTCACTCCATGGCCTGCCTTGGGCCCCCCTCGGTTCCCGAGGAGGCAAGTCTGCGGGGCAGGGGCTGTCTGGGGGCTCAGGGCCCAGCCAGCAGGGGCTGGCACTTATGGGAAAGGGAAAGAAGAGCCTCCCTTCGGAACTTGGGCCAAGCTCTGAGGCTCTGGGACTCTCTCCTTCCTCCCTGCAGAGCCTGCAGGTTAGTGATCTGGAAGCTCTTGGGAGCTTGGGACAATCCAGGAAGGGGTTTGTCGTCCTCTGCCACCCTCACAACTGTAGGCTGCAGCAGTGAGGGACAGCAGCCTCACATTTCAGCGTCTTTCACTGTGGAGGGGTGATGCGCTCTCACCTCCCACCCGCTTCTCCACCCCTCCATTTTGTGCTGCTGCTTCTGGCCGACTCTGCATCTCCACTGGATCAGGCCTCTGGCCCAACGTCCCTAGGAGACTTCTGCTGTGGCAAGAGGGTGGCTTTTTTGCTGTGGCTGAGAATGTTCCTGGAGACGCTCAGTTCTCACCCTCACGCCATGGACTACACATGCTGGGCGGTGCCCTCACACCAGGGTCTTGAGGTGCTAGGTCTCAGAACAGAGCATATCTGCCAGACCCAGACACACCCCACCCCCTCCCTGTCCAGGTCTGTCCCAGGCCTGTGGTTCTGGTAGGTGTGGATAGACTCACCCAGAGACTGGTACCCTCTACTGGTCACATGATCTCACTCTCCACCAGGTCTCCTACCCTGGCTTCCCTTGTCACAAACTCCCAAAGAAAAGGAAGGATAAACCCTAAATAAACCAGACAGAAGCAGCTCTGGAACAAAGAGTACAAAAAGACAGCCAGTGGCGTGCGGAGAGGGTGAAGTGGCAGTGGGTTAGGTGGGTGGATGATGGCATGCAGCACTGGGATTCCTTACAAGGGGTGGGGTCCCCATTTCTCCCCAAGGTGTGAGAGGGACTGGGAGGAGAGGGTCAGCCAACTCAGAGAAGCAGGACCTTCTCTGCACTGGGCCCTGAGGCTTCCTGTGTCCTCCATGGGCCCAACCAGTCACAGGGAAATGAAATCCGTGGCCTGGAGGAGGGAGAGTGAGAGCAGGAGCAACAGCAGCCATGAGGTATTCTGAGCCAGCAGGCTTATGCCCTCACACTTGACCAGCTTGTCTGTGAAGAGAGAATGGGGTGGGGGAGGGAACAGGCAGGGAAAGGCCCAAAGTAAGAGTGTGTTCCCTTCAGAGGAATTGGTGCCATGATTGTTAGCTAGACCAAGCTGGTCTAGAAGAATCAACTGTCTTTCCCATTTGCAGATTTCTGAGCCCCTTGAACACATATCTTATGAAAATCTTGGTAAACATCATCACAAGAAAACTAGGTGAGGGAGGTAAGGTCATTTCTGCTTTCCAGGTGGGGGAAAGGGTTGGGAGGCCAAATGTCTGTAGTTGCAGTAGAAGTGGCTACTACACTGCTCTTGCCGTCTGACAGGCTGCTCTTCTCCCATCCACACTGAAGGCAATGGCACCCCAGGGGACCAGGCAGCAGTAGGGAGAGGGGAAGGGAGCTATGGGTTCCTTGCCTTTCCAGCTAGCTAAGGACACTAACTGCTGTCCTCACCAGCCTGGTTGTTCTCAGCCTTGTTTGGGGACTTGTCTCACCTCTGAGCACAGAGATGTTCTGTGACTGGGGCATGGTTTGAGGCTGACCGGAGAGGCGGAGTTCGCACGTGTAGATCCCCTCATCCTTGTTGGTGAAGTCAGCTAAGTAGAGGACCTTCATGTTGTACTTGCTGGTGAAGTTGGTCCGGGAGCGGTATGAGTGCTCGGGTACCCCCACGGTGCCAAAGAGCACGTGCTTCTTTTTCTCACGGGTCAGGCTGAATTCGTACTGGATGGGCGAGGTGGTGGTATTCTCATGGTGGCAGTCCAGACGGAGGCTCTGGTTCACCAGGCAGGCCGTTAGGCTGGTCACCTTCTGCCCTCGGGATACCTGCAAGACTGGCACCAGCAGTGCCCCCTTCGAATTGGGGGAGAGCTGACAGAGCAGGGGGCCTCCCACCCACATTAAGAGTAGACATGGGCCAGGCTCAGCAGAACATAGGGGTCACTCATTGAGTGCCTCCTCCCAAACCAGGAGTCCTAGAGGGACAGTCCACCCTGCCAGACTCCAGACTCTCTCCCTAGTCTGTGTGAGCCCTCGGTCTTGTGTGTGTGTGTGTTTCAAGGACAGGAGGTCTTGGGGGACCAGTGAGGGTCTTATTCCTCATCAGAGAGTCCAGTTCACTAGTATGGGGCAGGGCTCAATGGATGTTTCTGAAGACCACCTCTGGCAGTCCGCAGGTCACTAGGTCGAGTGACTTGGGATGAAAAAGAGCCCTCTGTCCTTCAGTCACCTGCACTTTCTGAGGTTGCAAGAAAGATATTAGCTTCTCTGAAGGATAAGCCAGTATGCCTAGAATGCTAGCCCTGTCCCTTGCCCAGTACCTGCCAGCAGGACAGCGATGCCGATGGCCGGGTTCATGGTGCCACGAGCTCAGTCCTGGATATGGGGTGGGACGAGATGGGAATCAGCCAAGAGATGGGGCAAGTGTGCCCATACTTACTGCTAGGACATGGGCTCCTGGGGAACATGGTGGACATCTAAGCCCCTCCCTCCATCCCTCTTCCTCTCCCCATTTTTCTCAGAAGGTGGAACTGCCCTTGCTCTTTCCCCCTCAAGCACAGCAAGGAGGCAGGAGAACGCACCCTGGAATGGTGTGTCTGTGCTTGACCGCCGAGCACTTCCTAGTAGAGCTTCCTCCTTTGACTTTATTATTTAAGTTTGTGGTGCTGGGGACTTAACCTGGGGTGCTCTACCACTGAGTTACTCCCCTAGCCCCCCGCCCCCCACCAGGGACTGAACCAGGGGCACTCTACCACTGAGCCACATCCCCAACCCTTTTTATATTTTGAGACAGGGTCTCCCTAAATTGCTTAGAGCATGGCTAAGTTGCTGAGGCTGGCTTTGAATTCACTATCCTCTTTTCTCCTCTTCCCCAATCTCTGGCATTCCTGGTATGTGCCACTTCGTTCAGCCCCAGCCCTTTTAAAATTTTTACTTTGAAACAGGATCCCACTAAATTGCCAAGGCAGGCCTCAAACTTGCAACCTTGAATTTGTGATCTTCCTGCCTCAGTCGAAAGTTGCTGGGATTACACTGCACCCAGCTAGATGAATTTATCTTTACCACTTTTTTTTTTTTTCCAGGAATGTAAGACCTATGAGGGCAGGACTCACTATTTAATTTTTTAAAAGTTTAATTTGATAAAAAAAATATATAACATTTACTATCTTAACCATTTTTGGCAGTGGTGTACTAGGGATCGAACCCAGGAGTACTTACCATTGAGCTACACCTCCAGTCTTTTTTCCCCTTCTTTTTATTTTTAGAGACAGAGTCTCACTAAGTTGCCTACCTGGCCTACTTGTAATCTTCCTGCCTCAGCATCTGAGTTGTTGGGATTAAAGGTGTGCACCATGGTGGTAGGCTCTTAGTCAATTTTTTATTTTTTTATGGTGTCTAAGATTGAACTCAGGCTCTCAATTATGCCAGGCAACCATTCTACTACTGAGCTGCATCCTCAGTCCTCCTGATCTTTTTTTTTTGGACCAGGGATTGAGCTCAGGGGCACTCAACCACATCCCCAGCCCTATTATGTATTTTATTTAGAGACAGGAATTGCTTAGTGCCTCGTCATTGATGAGACTGGCTTTGAACACGCCATCCTCCTGTTTCAGCCTCCTGAGCCGCTGGGATTACAGGCCTATGCCACTATGCCCTGCTTGACCATTTTTTGAAGGGTTCAATTCATTAAGGTTTAGTACATTCACATTGCTGTGTAACCAAATCTCCAGGACTCTTTTTGTCTTTCAAAATGAAAACTCTAATGAGCAATTGAACAAAATTTCCTCATTCAGAGACTTATTTCCATTTGTTCGAAAAAATTTTTACCAATATCTAGAATATTTCCTGGTATATTAACAGATATTCAAAAGATATTTATTTATTTATTGGTACCAGGGATTGAACCCAGGGGCGCTTAACCACTAACTCACATCCCCAGCACTTTAAAAAAAAAATCATTTTATTTAGAGACAGGGTCTTGAGTTGCTCAGGGCCTTGATAAATTGCTGAGGCTGGCTTTGAACTTGCGATCCTCCTGCCTCAGCCTCCCGCTGGAATTACCAGCCACGTGCTTGGCAAAAGATACTTATTGAATGAATGAAGAAATGAGGTTCTTTTTGAGCCTTAGATACCCATGGGGTTTGGGGAGGATTAGAAAAATGACAAACATTTGGCAGCACATTGCTGCATAAATGATCCTGAAAGGCTAATTGCTAGGGATGATGTCAGGTGTGTCTGGTCAATGAGCTCTGAGATAGGCTTCCACTGGGTGCTCAGTTAAGGTGTTGCCTGATGTGTTTAAGGGAAAGAAACAGTGTTCTCTGTAAACGAGCCAAAAATGCTTCCAAACGTCAAGCGCTCTGGGATTTCAGGGGTTGCAGTTTTCTAGCCTGGCTTCAACTGTCTCCTTGCCTTATCTTTTAAAGCTTAAGAAAAAAAAAATATATATATATATATATATATATATATAAGGTGCATCTTCGCGAGGTGACAAGGAATGGTAGTCTAGACTGTCCGCAGCAGGGCTAGCCTGAGAGCGGTCTCTGGAGGGGCGCGAGGTCACTGGAGGGGCCCGCGCCTGAGAAAGCGCTCAGGCCCTGCGTTGGTTCCCTGCGCCCGAGGGCTCCGGGAGCGCCTTTCACAGCCCAGGATACTTGGCGCTCAGCGCCTGGGCGGGCGAGGCTAGGGTGCCCTCTCCTTCCTGGGTACGGCTGCCGCCCCGTGCCGAATCCTGGGGCTCTGCAGCTGAGGAGCCTGGGCTGGCGCAGGTCTTTGATTTGAGGGCACTGGGTTACGGAGGAGGAGTACGGGCTTGGGAACTAAAAGAGGAAGGGGGAGCGTGGCCAGAGAAAGAAAGGGAATAAATTCATTGGGGCTGGGGCTGGGGGATGTAAAGCCAAAGGGAGGGTAGAGAGTGGTTAAGGAGGGGCAGTCTATTTTTTTCCTCTGCTGGGTGTCCCTGCAGCCCAAACCCAGAGAAGCCCTGCGCTGCCTCGCTCTCCAGCCCCCGCTCGGCTGGCCCCACCCTTCTTTGGTTTCTGTATTCTAATCTTCTCCTTTTTCAATTGAGGTTCCCCTTCCCCCTCTCTCATCCTTTTCAGATCTCCCCTCCCCCGTCTGCCTGCCTTCCACCCAGTCCCCGCCCGCGGCACTGCGGTTTCCCTACCTCTGGTGCCCCACACCCAGCCCCCGGCGAGGTCACCCTGCAGAGATTCCCTGTAGCTTGCCACCCTCTGTCTTCTCCCCCCATTTCTGCCCCGCTCCCACCTTTGCGAACTGGGCTCGGTGGAGAGCCAGTGGAGAGTCTGGGTGGAGAGCAGAACCAAAGGCTGTCTTTAGTGTCCTTCCTCTCGGTTCTTCTCCAGCGCCCCAGCCCCAGATGACCGTCCTCCAGCAGTAAAAACTACCGAGCGCCTTCCGTAAAAGGCGGGCTGCGGCGTGGCTGCTACCCTGCAGCGCGTCCCACTCCCGCCCGGGCCTGGGAAGCAGATCCTTCCCCGGCGCCCTCAGTTTCCCGAAGCCTTGGGCTGAGAAGGCTTGTAAGGGCACCTGGTGGCTCTCCCTGCGACCCAGGTCCGGCCTGGCTCTAGCTCTCACCTGCGCTCTGTTGCTCTGCTGCAGCAGCCTCCTCTGGATGCACCGCCGCCTCCAGTTGCTGCACCCTGCAAAGAGCCCGCAGTTTTCACCAGGGGTGGGAGAAGGGAGAGCAGGGAGGGCCTCAGGGCTCAGCCAATCAGAGGCTGTGGGGAAAGGATGGAGGGGGCGGGCAGAGAAGGGGGGAGGAGGTGGTTGGGTCTTGGTGTGGGAAGGTGGCTGACTGCTGCAGAAGGGGGGTCCTCAGCCTGTGACTGGCTGGCTTGGCCAGGGACACAAGAGTGTTGGACCCTGAGATCAGGGTGGGGCAGCCTAAAAAACGTTAGCCGCTTCCCCGAGCCCCCGCAATGATTCTCTCCTTTTAAGGCTCTAACCCTTTCTTCTGACACGGTCTTCAGAAATCAGTGGGAAAACCAAAAGGTAAGGAATGCAGGAGGGAGGTCGGCTACACTTCCTTCTTGACTTCTCGGCTGGGGCCATCTTCCTCCCGAGCCACCCGTGAGAGGTTTCTATGTGGGAAAGTCCCGGTCTCTCTAAAGGAAGCGGGTTAGAGCAGCCCGTTGGAAGAAGGTAGGGGTTGCACCCTTTCTTGGTTCCCAGCCTAGCCCAGCCCAGCCCGCTTCCGGTACTCCAGTGGAGGCTGCGGGTTATTTCTGCTGTCTGGTACTCCTGTCTCCCTCCTGTGCTGGCACCTCCCCAACCAAAGGTCTGGTAGGTTCCTCTCACTTTTGTGAAAACTGTCTGGTCTTCAGACAAACTCGTGTTGTTTTTTACCAAGCACTGTGCTGGGCACTTTACATCAATGGTCACATTTCACCCCTGCAATCCCACTTCTGGGTTGGCCAGTTGCTGGCCTTGGAACCCAAGCCCTCAGTGCTGAGCCATTCCACTCTGCTGCGGGCAGCCTAGTGGGAGAGGAAATAGGGAGAACTCTGGGAAAGGGGTGGAGACTATGAAAAATCTGGAAAAAGAATAGGCCGAGACCTAGCTTTTGATTTCCTGGAGTACCTCTTCTACTTCATCAGTTTTTTCCCCAGTACTGGGGATTGAATCCAGAGGTACTTTACCACTGAGGTGCTTGCACAGCACTTTTTATTTTGAGACTGGGTCTCACTAATTTGCCCAGAATGTCCTTGAACTCGAAATCCTCCTGCCTCCCCCTACTCCTCCTGCCTCCCCCTACAGAGTAGCTGGGATTACAGGTGTGCACCACCAGGCCTGGCTACCCCATCAATGTGGTGTCACCAGAAGGAGTCCTTTTTTCACATCTGGTGCTGATGACTTGCCCACCCACCCACAAGTATGCCAATACATCTTTTAAAAAATAAAGGTTTATTTGATTGATTTGATCCTTCTGTCCTGTGTGAATTCTGGGCATGGTTTACTGTGAGCTGACCCTGCACTCCAGCTCTCTGCCTGCCCATTCTCCTGTTTCTTCATAGAAGTCAGCCCTGGCATCTTCACTGTAGTTCCAATACTGTAAAGGCACTGTTGGACTCTCTCCCTTGTCACACAAGTGGGAGTTTCATTTTCTTCTTTATCCCTTGGAGAGCAGCTAGGTGGTCTTCCAGAGCTTAGAGTGATGAACTACTCCAACTAGAATGAGCCTTGCAGATAGCCCAGTCCAAAGGGGGTGGTTTCACTTTGGTAAACTACAGAAACTTTATGAAAATTGCAGTTCCCCACCCCCCACCTAGGCCCCTCTCACTGTAGTTCTCAGTCTGCACTTTCCCCAAGCTCTGCAGGGTCTCAGACTATGAAACGCTTGTCTGCTAAGGCAACCCCTTTGCAAGGATGAGTCTACCTGGTTTTTCATTGTCCATAGGGAAAATTTTTAGGCCCTGGAATGGCCTGGCCTCTGGCTGCTGACCCCTACCACCCCATCTTTCCTGTTCATCTTCCTGCTGCATTCCTGACATGCTGGCCTCCTCTCTGACTCTCCATGGTGGGGTGTTTCCTTCTACTTGGCAGTTTTCTGATTCTTAAATCAGGGATTTTTCCTATTAGAACACAATTTGGCATCTAACTCTTTTTTTGCTTGCTTTCTCTTGTTCACGTGCACGCGCGCGCGCGCACACACACACACACACACACACACACACACACCCACAGCTGGAGATGGGAATACCCAGAGGTCTCTTAACCATACCCAGTGGTCCAGCCAATCAGGTCTCTGGCTGGCCAAAGCCCTTGGTGCTTCATCTCCCACCCTGCTGCCTCGTCTCTGAGTGTTGCTGGGCACAAGGCCTTGCTGTGCTACTTTGATAAAGTTAAGAGAACCTGGCCTACTTTCTGAGTCCCTAGGCATTTTGCCTTCAGGAAGGGGAGGGGGAGTGGCCTGTTAGGGCATGTAACTGTGCTTCTGCCTGAACAAGGTCTCCAGTGGGATGGAGTGAAAGACTCAAGTGGGATGAGATGAGGTTTGGGGACAGACCCAGGGTGATAAAGGGGAGGAGATTTTAAAACTCCCACTTCCTAATGGATAGTCAGAGTGCTAAAAGCAAGAGGGAATCCAGCCAAAGCAACAGTTCCTGCTACACTGGGGCTGCCCAGCTGCTTCCTTAGCCTTTCCTTCTCCCACTATCTCCTGCTGCCCCAGCTAGATTTCTTTAGGGCAACAAAGTATGGCCAGCCATTCCCTCTTCATATTCACAGGTTTCACAGAATGTCCTTGTAAACCCATGGAGGTGGTAGAGTCACCCCATTGTTTTTTAAAGGGGATCTGAAGTCCAAGAAGGGAAATAGTCTGTCAGAAGTCAAACACATACTTTGGGAAAGAGCCAGGCCTATGGATCTCATCTCCTGGCTTCATGCATAGTGCTCCCCAGTGCTCCCAGGGTGGTCGTCAGACCTTACTAGACTTATTTAACTGGTCCAGTATGTGAGGCACCCTGGGCATGTCTGTTAGATGGTTACCCTTGTTTGGATCCCCTCCTCTTTAGCCTATTGATGGGGGAAAGGTCCCTACCCTAGGGTTATGGGGATGCCTGAATGCATGACACCACCCTAGACAGGTAAGATCAATAGCAGGTTGTAGGTCACATATACTCACAGTCCAGAGGAGGACATCAGACACCATGAATTATCACACAGGACTTGAACTCAGAAATAGCATGTGCAGGAGGCAGGCTTTGAAGTATCAAAAAGGTTAGGATGTCCCCCATTTCCTCCTGGAGGGTGTGATTGGCAGTTCGAATAATTCCAAAGGCAGGTAGAAAAATGAAGCCCACTATTCAAGGATAAGCAGGAACTGTGCCTGGTCCTCTTAATAAAGAGGATTGTTTGAGCAGGGGTCTTATCAGCAGACAGGGAGGAGTACTTGTGTTTCCCTTCTGATTTTTAAAAATATTTATTCTTAAGTTTTAGGTGGACACAATATTTTATATTTATGTGGTGCTGGGGATCGAACCCAGTGCCTCGTGCATGCTAGGTGAGCACTCTTTCACTGCGCCACAACCCTAGCCCTCCCTTCTGATTTTATCAGATGTCAAAACATTTAAGGCCCTTCTGATTTTTTTGGCTGTCAAGTCTACACCCAGTTTTGGGTTAATTGATACCACATACCTGCTCTTTCTTTCTTTACCAGGGATGATCAAACCTAGGGGGCACTTAACCACTGAGACACATTCCCAGCCCTTTTAATTTTTTGTTTTTTTAAAATTTTGAGTCAAGGTCTCACTAAGTTGCTTAGGACCTTGCTAAGTTGCTGAAGCTGGGATCCTCTTGCTTCAGCCTCCCCAGTTGCTGGGATTACAGGTGTGAACCACTGCACCTGGCCATACCTGTCCTTTCTGTAATTCATTTCTAAGGTTGTATCTTCCACTTTTCTGAAGTGGCTGTGGTAGATGGTATGTGCATTTAAAAAATTATAATTGTAGGTGGACAACATGCCTTTATTTGTTTAGTTTTTTTTTTTTTTTTAATGCGGTGCTCAGGATCAAACTCAGTGCCACACACATACTAGGTAAGTGTTCTGCCACTGAGCTATAGCCCCAGCCCGGTATATAAATTTTTAATGTCCTTACTTGGGGGAGGGGAGAAAGAAAATTAGCTACTTTTGCTTGATACTCAATCTCCTCTAGAAATATAGTCTGTGGAATTAAAAACTCTTGGAACTATTGCTCGTCACCCTGCCACCTCCTAATTCTAGGTGAGGTCAGCTCCTCAAAGACTGGTTGTATGGTTTGAGAATAGAACATAAAAAATAAAGATTATTTCTTAGGATTCAGAGCATACATAAGTTGAGAGGAGGAAGCACCAATGGAGATAGAACTTAATTTTCAACAGGTATTATTTAAAAATTTTACTCATGGATGTTTACTTCATCAAATAATTAAAAGGCATATTGGCATCAACAATGTTTCAGGACAGGACTCAACCTTACAAATATGAAGATTAAAAGAACAATCTGCCCTCAAAGGCTTGTTCCTTTTTATTTTGTTTTATTTTTTATTTTTAATTGCTTTTAATTTTTAAATATATGATATCAGAATGCATCACAATTCTTATTACACATATAGAATACAATTTTTCATATCTCTGTATATAAAGTATGTTCACACCAATTCATGTCTTCATACATGTACTTCGGATAATGATGTCCATCACATTCCACCATCATTGCTAATCCCCTGCCCCCTCCCTTCCCCTCCCACCCCTCTGCCCTATCTAGAGTTCGTTTATTCCTCCCATGCTCCCTCTCCCTACTCCACTATGAGTCAGTCACCTTATATCAGAGAAAACATTTGGCATTTGTTTTTTTGGGATTTGTTTTTGGCATTTGTTTTTTTTTTTTTTTTGGCTAACTTCACTTAGCATTATCTTCTCCAACTGCATCCATTTACCTGCAAATGCCATGATTTTATTTTCTCTTATTGCTGAGTAATATTCCATTGTGTATATATGCCACATTTTTTAATCCATTCATCTACTGAAGGGCATCTAGGTTGGTTCCACAGTTTAGCTATTGTGAATTGTGCTGCTATAAACATTGATGTGGCTGTGTCCCTGTAGTATGCTGTTTTTAAGTCCTTTGGGTATAGATTGTGGAGAAGGATAGCTGGGTCAAAGGGGGTTCCATTCCAAGTTTTCCAAGGAATCTCCATACTGCTTTCCAGATTGGCTGCACCAAT